GTCTTTTGCAGCAGTAGAAACTTTTTTTAAATCCTCACCCAAGGACATTTTTTCATTGCTTGTAGAGAGAGAGACATCAACGTGAGGATGTGAGAACATCCACTGGCTGTCTCCTGCATGTGCCGGGACTGGGGAGCAGACGCGCAGCCTTTCAGCCTATGGACAACTCTCCAAACAACTGAGCCACATGGGCCAGGGCATGCAGCAGTTAAACCATCCTAACTCCCCCAGTAAGTGATTAACCTGCCTGTTTTCTGACAAGGGCAAAATTCTGAAATACTCTCCATTAAATTACAGTGAGAGAAAGAGTTGTTTGTCTGTTAATGGCTTCAGACCAGCTAACAAAAGACTGTTTCTATTCTTTCCACTTCCTGTTGGGACTCCGATTAACTTCCAGGTGGTTATTTTCCAGCAGGCACGGCTCACTCCAGGAGCGCAGGCTGGGAGACTGCACGCCAGCCAATCCACACGAGCAAACATTTCTCCCACCCCTTTGCCTATGGCTCACCAGAAATCCTTCCAGACTACCTCCCTCCCCACCCCCGACCCCACTAGAAGTATCAAAATGCTGGGAAACTTTAGGGGGATGGACTGGCCATGCTGCTGGTGGTATAGATTTCATGCTCCAAGACCAGTCTTCTTGGCTAGCATTCTAGCTTGGAAAAGACATACTTTCCAAAAAGACCAGACGTAGAATTTTCGTTTAATGTTCCCTACAACCTTGTCAAAGCAGCTTGCCAGGTAATATTTGTTTCTGCACCCACATGATCACAATGTACTCATCTGTATTTCTCTGGAGATTGGGCACCTTTTCATATGCTTAAGAACCATCTTGACTCTTTCCTATTTACTGTTAGTTCATATCCTTTGCCCATTTTCCTATTCAATTTCTTTCTCTTAGTAAATTCTAGGAGCTCTGCATAAATTAAGGAAATTAGCTCTTTAGTGCTAGGAGTTTGCTATTCGTCTTGGCTTATAGTTTGTTTTATAATGCAAATGTTTTTGATTTTTATGTTGTCAAAATCAATCCTTAGAGATGACATCCAGCTTTTAATTAAAATGACCTTCCTTACTCTAAGATAATAAAGGGGTTTGCCCAGGTGGCATTATCTGCATTCATGGTCTCCATTTAATGTGATTGTTTAGACTGGCTAAAGATAATGGATGCATGAACAAATTTACCTTTTTTCCTAAGTCCTTGTTGACTTATTGACTCCACAAAGATCATACAATGATTCTAAGCTAAATGATTATAGTGCTCACCCTTGGGAAGCATTTTGATGGTATTTGTAGGTCCTCTTTCACTGATTCAACGTTAGGGACTAAGGAAAGGTAAAACAATATTATTTAATGATATAGTTCAATGTGTATGCCACTTAAAAGAAGATTCTTTTAACTCAAATAATCGGGATAGCTTATTCTCCAATCTTGCTGGAAATTAAAGAATGTTTTAAAAGTAAATTAACAGTGAGATATAATTACACACCATCAATAGAATGGCTAAAATTTAAAAAATGATCATGCAAACCACTGGCATGGGTGAGGAGGAACTGGACTGCATGGGCAGCTGGCAGGACTATAAAATGATAGAGGCACCCTGGAAAACAGTTTAACAGTTTCAGTAATCTTACTCCTGGGTATTTATCCGAAAGACATGAAAACTTAAGTTGAAACCAAAGCCAGTAACAGAAACGTTCACAGTAGCTTTATTCATAATGGTCAAAAACTGGAAACCGACTTCCGCCAAGATGGAGGAATAGGTGGATATGCCGTGCCTTCTCACACAACCAAGTTTGGGGACAACTAAATATTAGCATCAGAAAACACAACCAGAACACGGAAAATTGAACTTTTTGGAAGTCCATTAACAACAAATTCTTCAGCCCGACCGGTAAGGGGCGAAACCGGCGTCTCGTGAGGGGTTGCACAGGAGGACTGAGTCGGACCCAGACGCACGGGTTCCAAACGCAGGATTGGACCTAGTGAGCGACTGAGCAACCCACCGGGTGAGCGACTGCAGAGGAGACAGTGGGGAGGCGGTGCTGCATGTTGACTGCGGTTGCCTATTTGCGGGCGAGCGGACAGGCGAGGGAGTGGGCGGTTGGACCGGGGCCCAGCGTCCCCGCGGCAAGCGGCGGTAGAGGGCGCCGCCATTTCCCCGCTCTGACCACGCCCCCACATACAGCGTCACAACCCAGCGACCTGGGAGTCCAAGGCGCCGCTTCTCACATTTAAAGGGCCAGAACAGACCAAAAATGTCGCAGGAAGACCTCAAAGCCCCAGAGATAAATCTAAGCGACGAAGAAATAGCAAAACTCTCAGACGCACAGTTTAAAACACTGATCATCAGGATCCTCACAGATCTGGTTGATTATAGCCACAAATTAGAGAAACATATGAAGGCTAAACTAATGGAAATGAATGGAATTCCACAGGAAACCCATAGTGTTGAAAAGGAAACTGGGACTCAAATCAATGGAGTGGACCAGAAGAAAGCAAATAATGGCCAAACAGAAAAGAGTCAAGAAGCAAGAATTCAAAAAAATGAGGAGAGACTTAGGAACCTCCAGGACATCTTTAAACGCTCCAATATCCGAATTATAGGGGTACCAGAAGGGGGAAAGACACAACCACCAGTGGAAAACTTATTTGAACAAATAATAAAAGAAAATTTCCCCAATCTGGCGAAGGAAATAGACTTCCAAGAAATCCAAGAAGCTCAGAGAGTACCAAAAAAGTTGGACTCAAGAAGAAACACACCAAGGCACATCGTAATTACATTAGCCAAAATAAAATGAAGGAGAGAATCCTAGAAGCAGCAAGAGCTAAGGGGACAATCACCTACAAAGGAGTCCCCATCAGACTGTCAGCAGATTTCTCAAAAGAGACCTTACAGGCAAGAAGGGGCTGGAAAGAAATATTCCAAGTCATGAAATCTAAAGACCTACAACCAAGATTGCTCTATCCAGCAAAACTTTCATTTAGAATGGAAGGACAGATAAGGTGCTTCTCAGATAAGATCAAATTCAAGGAGTTCATCATCACCAAGCCCTTATTATATGAAATGTTAAAGGGACTTATCTAAGAAAAAGAAGTTAAAGAAACATGAACAGTGAAAGAACAACAAGCTCACAGTTATTAACAACCACACCTAAAACGAAAGCAAACTAAAAGAACAGCTAGATCAGGAGTGGAAACATAGAAATGAAGATCTCAAGGAGGGTTAGCAACAGGGGAGTGGGAGGAGGAGATGGGGGGAGAAGGTACAGAAAATAAGTAGCATAGACAGTAGATAGAAAATAGATGGGGGGGGGCAAGAATAGCATGGGAAATATAGAACCTAAAGGACTTGAGACACATGGACATAAACTAAAGGGGGGTAATGGTGGGGATGGGGGGGGCAGGGTGGAGGGGAATGAAGGGGGGAATAGAACAACTGTAACAGCATAATCAATTTTAAAAAATTTTTTAAAAAAAAGAAATGCAAAAAAAAACACAAAAAAACTGGACACCGGATGTCTTTCAGCGCCTGAAGAGTTAAGCGCCCGCGGCACATCCCTGGCACATCCCTATCGTGGTGTGTGGACCCTGGTGCCTTGGAATTGGCACAAAGGTTACTTTAGGCTGAAGACAGACGAGATTCGACAGATGCAGAAATGTCTTCTGGGAGTCTCCCTTCTCCACTAAAAGCAGCAATTTCTGGGAAATGAGGCCACCACAGACTCCCCCTCGGGGGAGTTTTATGGAAAGGCCACTCACACCCGAACAGAAAACCATGGCCAACTGGAGCTCAGGTCCCACGTTAATCCCCCCTCTGCTCTGCCTTCTTCAGCATCCACCCTCGTGCTCTCCCCAAAGGCTCAGATTTGTCCTCTTGTTTCATTCCCTTAGAGCCCCATGCCCATCTGTGATGGCTCTGGCTACCACCTACTATCTCTCTAATATTTATACATAAATGCATATTAAAACTTCCAGTTATAAGTTTTACTCACACTCTTCCAAGTCCAAAATAGAATTAATCATGTTCCTCTGCTGCCCCTAAACTACTTACCCTCCAGGGGTCCCGTAGGGGAACTCACTGAGATGCAGTATGGCCCCAGCAGCAAAGGCATCTGGGAAATGCTAGACTCTTAACTCTGTAGCTTCAGGCTCTGCTGACTGCCCAGGAAACTGGAATGTTCCCCCCACCCTCAGAAGGCGGCTAATGAATGTACAGAGTGTGCTAATTGCCCAAAGTTATCTGTTAACTGAGGAATGTGTTTTCTTTCTGGTGTCCTACGCCGATCCCCCACCTATAAAAAAGAGCCCCTGTCCTGGGAGGGCTATGGGCTCTTCCCTGCTGGCCACCACTGGGAGCAGCTACCTTGCTTGTATATCTAAGTCTCTCCTTTTAAAGCTCTTATGAATTTGCATAAGGCTACATGTCAGTTCTTTGGAACTGGTCCTGAATTTCGACCTTTGGGGCTTTCCCCCAACGTGTCCCAATCTTTGCCCATCGCTAAGCCATTCCATTTCGATTCCTCCATTTTGAGATCATTTCAAGTCTTCCTCTACTCATGGGTCTTCCTTTCTAAGCATCAGTGGCATTACCCTAGTTGAATGCTTTGTCCCACCACAGGTGCACTTTTTAAATGGCCTAAGTGGTATCTGTGATACCGGCTCCTCCTGCAAGCTACCGACCATCTGATCTTGTGAAAGCCCTTTGGCAAAAAGCACCTCAATATCTCAATGGCTCTCAGAACCTTGTAGATCAATTTCTATAGTCAACAAACTGGGTGTGGCAACTAGTATGTCGACAATGAGTTTTCTACAGGAGTACGAGGAGAAAGGCCACCCTTCCCAACCCCATAAAGCACACTGAGAGCACAGGTCGACACCTGGTTCTCAAATGGGGACAGGATTTTGCCTCCAGGCACACTTCTCAATGACTGCAGACATCTCTGGTCATTCACTCACAAGTGCTGAGTCCGGGCCCTACACTGTGCAGGGCAGGGTCTCACCACGGACAATTCTCTGGCCTGCAAGGTTCACGGGGCCACGGTCAAGAAAGCCCGGTCCAGCACTTAGGAAACAAGGAATCAAGGCAACAGGAACCCACGATGGGGCCAGTGTGCCGAAGAGAACAGTTCTGACATGTCCCTGAGGTTAGACTGCAGCAGGCTGGAGAGAGAAAAAAAGAACAGTCAGTGGCTGAGGGGCAGCGGACAAGACGGTTCACATTCCTGAGCGGACACTGGCCGAGTTAACTTCAGGCAGCTGTCCCCAGGATGAGTATCTGAAAGAGAATAGCCAGGTGTCACGGAGCCGCCGAAGTTTCCAGCCCCTCGTCCATCCACAGGAGCAAACGGGACTCTGCTCCTGCTCTGGAAGTAGCTCACTTCCCCTTTTCCCACTCCCACCCCATCATCTGTAGCCAATGTAAATTCTTTCAAAACAACTTCCATCATTCTTCCCCCAAACAAAATGTACAGAAGTTCTTGTCAACTCCAGGAAGGGTGACTTGTTACCTTTTCCACCTGGCCTGCTGTTGGTTTATGACTTTACACCCCAGGACCTGGTCCTTTAACTTGCTAGCAATGGCCCATAATCCGTTTTTTTTTAAAGGCTTTTGGCAGTGAAAGTTAGTTTTCTTTTGCAGGGCAAAGGCCCTTAGAGAAAGAGGAAAGACACTAATGACTGCCAGAGAAGATCTTGATGGTGACTTGGACTTCTTGAAACCAGAAAGAAGGGTGGGAAAGAAAACTGTATTTGCAATAGCAAAGAAACATGGACTTTTCTGTATAATGAGTACTAATGTTACAGAACGTTCGGACCGTTGGTGAACAAAAGGGTTGTGACCTAGGACTGTGGGCAGCACTCGCTGATACAGGGACAAGTACAGACCTAACCCCTTAGTATGACAGGAGCTGCCACTTTGTTGGAAACAGCTCTGCCTGGTTTCAGGAGTTGTAACCGCCCCCCATGGCTAAGGCTGAGTGAGCAACCTTTGGACAGTGAGACACTAAGGAGACAAAGCTTATCTCCCTGGCAGGAGCGCTGCTTCTGCTTCATCCATCTCTGCCCCCAACGCTTGGTCCGTTAGTCAATGATGGGTACAACCCCTCAGAGGGGGGGCAACCTAAGCCAGACACGATCACTTGGGAGACCCTCAAGGAAGGACTTGAGTGGGAACTGCAGCAAAGAAGGGTGATGGACCCTCACCCCCGGCTATTCGGACAAGCCCGAGTCCCCATTTCCGTGTGGGAGAAGCACTTTCTGGCTCTAAGCCACTTAAGCCTCAAAACCTATGACAGGGAGGGCGGTGCAGTTCTCCTCCGGCTAGAGCAGGTTCCAGGGTGATCGGGTATAAGAAAGAATTCCTAAAGCCCTGTGAAGCCTGCTTTGCTAAGAGTGCTTTCATTCATATGATTAGGGTCCAAGCAGGAAATGAATATGTCTCCCAAAGTTTTTGCAACCCCCTTACCTGACAGACACTGACTCAGATTAAGCCCTCAGATTTCTTTGAAATGCTATATATTGTTTGATCCCTGCATGACATTGATTGATGAACTTTACCTGTATTCCTGTGTATTACGAATCTAATAAAAGCCATTGAGAAGGGGTTCTTGGTCCTTCTCCTGTGAGCGATTGACCACTTCTCCTCCCCAAGCAGATCATGTCTTGGTAGTTTTATTTTCATCTGTGGCGGACGGGGGCACTTGTGGGTAAAGTTTCCCCCACACCACTTGAATCCATTCCATCGCCCCACAAACTCGTTACACCCACTGCCCTGGCACGATGATTTCTTGGGTGTATTCCTACCTTCCCACTTTTGCTGACACATGTCCTTGACCTGGAATCTCCTCTGCTCTTTAACCTAAATCTAAGCCATCTCTTCCTTTGCTGCTCAGTTCAAGCCTCACCTCATTTATGCACACCTGTTCATACTACCAATATTTATTTAGCATTAGCAATTCACTGTCTTCTGTCCCAATATGTATTTCTTCACATATATACCCTGTCTCCCCAATTAGAAATGCAATTTCCTTGAGGTTATGAACCCCATTGTAAATGTATAGATCTCTAAGACTGATCAGAATACCAGTGTACTTTGCAGTGAGCAAAGACACTCACCACTCCAGAGTTGCTGGTAATGGGTTCTGCCTATATTAACAGCTAGCGTTTGCTGAGTATTGACAATGTGCCAGAGCTGTCCTAAGCACTTAACATCTCATATCTCATTTAACACTGCTGTTATCCCCACTTTGCAGAAAAAGGAACAGATGCTCAGAGGCAGGCAGTAGCTTGTGTAAGGTCGTCCTCCCAAGAGGTAGCAGAGGATTCAAACTCAAGTGGCCTGACTTCAGAATCTCTGTTTAATCACACATGAAGTTTCTGTTTAGCTACCAAGCTCTCTCCGCCCAGATGAGAAACATGCACAAAAAGAGTACTGCTGACTTCCAGTAGCACAAAGCTGAACAAGATTTACATCTAGTCTAGCAGTTAGAGGAACAGACAGTCCTGTACAGCAGTGGTCCCCAACTTTTTTGGCACCAGGGACCTGATTCCTGGAAGCCGGGTGGGTGGGGGGAGGGTCGGGCAAGAGGCAACCCTGTTTGGTTCTGGAGCAGGGGTGGGGGCATGGGACAGGAGGTGGAGAGAAGCTCTTGGAACCTGTTCCTGTATAGAATGAACTGAACAAGGAATTTCCTTAAGGATACTTTTCAAGAAGGACCTCTTGAAAAGTATCAAGCTGCCTAAAATGCTTTGACACCACTGGCTGACTAGAAGGACAATTCCCCACAAACTGGGTTTTCCAAACAAAATGCATACACAGGTAAGTTCTAATCTTCAGGAACAGAAAGATCTGAGAAGGAAGCATGGGCTAAGTGCCAGTGTTACCACCTGATGTTTGTGCAACAAGAGGATATTGAACATGGCCTCTCTGTTCCTCGTCTGGGAGAAGAAGTCACTAACACCTTCTTTACGGGGTTCACATAAGGAATAAATGGGGCAGTGGGCACACAGTGTTGCCCCTGGTCCGCAGTAGATACTCACTACATGCTGACTCTCCATTATTCTTTGCACAGGGACAAAATTAGCCTTACCTTGCATTTCTCTGCCCTCCAGACCACTTCCTATGATAGCAATCTAACTAAATCATGGCTATAATTACGTAACTCCAAGGCTCAAAACCTTCCATGCCTTTTCACAACCCAAAGGAATGTAAGGAATCCAAAATTCCTTAAAATGACCCTATCCCTTTTCACATCAGTGTTCTCCCCCACTCCCTTTCCCCTCCTAAAATCCAAACCCAGCTTCCAAAGAGCCTGTCCCTCCTATGAACCCCTAGGCAGATCCTGGAGCCCTTAGAATTTGTATGACATCTAAATGCTATCAGGGTGGTTGGATACAGTTTTAATCTCTCTACTGAAAGATAAACTTATAGGTAAGTGTTTGGGGTCTTTGTTATACCTGTGGTAACACCCAATGCCTCATGCCTGGCAATAATAAGAGCTGATATTGAAGAACACTGGGCACCACTTTAAGTACCTCACTTGCACATATAAATTCATTTAATCTTCACAACAACCCTATGGGTACAGGTACAGATCAGGAAACTAAGACCCAAAGAGGTTAAGTAACTTGCCCAAGATTATACTACTAGGAAGTGAGAGAGCCTGGGTTTGAACCCAAGCAATCAGACTGCAGAACCCACATTCCTTCCAGTAAATGTCCACTATGCTGCAGTCACCAGCCCATCAGTTACATTACCTAAAACATGTAAAAGTGCTTTAAAAACTATGAAGAATAATAAGCCGCCACAAAAGCACCGAATGCAAACAAAACAGGTCTCTGGTATCTCTAAGGAAGGGGAGCAGGCATGAATGCACGAAGGTTAAGTTAAGAATCAGACCAGAGTTGGAACAACAGCTGTTAGTTTCTAGTTGCGTGACTTTAAGCAAGACACTTAATCTTATTCAGCTGCAGGCTCTGCACCTGAAAAATTAAACTACTTTTTAGGATGGTTGTGAGAATTAAATAAATGATGCAAAGAGTCAAATCTGTGAAACCCAGGCAATTTCCTTTGCCAAACTATTAAAAAACAATTATAAAATAAGCCCTAGCTGGTGTGGCTCAGTGGATTGAGTGCCTGCCTGAAAACAGAAATATCACTGGTTCCATTCCCAGTCAGGGCACATGCCTGCAACCCAGCTGGGGGCTAAGAGGCAACTATTGATGTATTTCTCACACATGGATGTTTGTCTCCCTCTCTTTCTCCTTCCCTTCCTCTCTGTCTAAAAGTAAATAATAAAAAACAATTTAAAAGAGTATTATGTAGGAACCATAATGACATGCTTTTTTTTTCTTTGCAACAAAATGCTAACATTATTGGACTAATTTTTTAAAATACCCCAGGGATGTAAATATCAAATAACTTTAATTATCGCTAATTAAACAAAAAGGAATCCTGCCTCTGGGCAGCAGTTGAAGAGCCTTTAACTCATTAAGCAAATAAAAAGAAATATAAAAAATAAACAGTCGGCATCGGGAAAGGTCCCAAGGACGTGTACTGACAAAGGGGAACGAATCCGAATGCCTGGGGCTCTGGAAAGCGTGCCACAGAGAGAGCGCAGGGCTGAAGAAAGTGGGGCTGTTTAATGAAAAAGGACGCAGACACGACAACTGTTCAAGAATCAACGCAGGTCCAGAGAGCTGAATTAAGGTGGCTATTTCCAGCAGCCGGGTTTCAGCTCCAGTTCGAGGAAGCCGGGAGAGCTCCCCGCGCCATGAAGACCCCATGCATTAAGATGCTCAGGCACCAGCCACGAGATAAGGACCAAAGGGAGTTCTCTTCTTGGTCGCTAAGTGCGACCGACCTACTTCGAGGTCCCTTCCTAATTATGCCTCAGGACCGCAGAAGGGAGGACCGGGAAACACTCTGCCCGGAACTGTGCCTACATTTTAACGATCTTTTTTTTGGAGGGGAGGGGAAATGAAATTTATAACCTTTGGGTAGAGGTGGCATCGAAGAGGTCGCATCTCTGCAAAATATCTTTAAAGATCCGAGACTTGGTGGGTCACCGGGCCCGATAATAATCTGCAAAGGACATCTTGCAGAGGCGGCTCTCCGACACTACGCAAGGTGCTTGCTCCGCAAAGGAAGCTTCTAGGCCAGCCCCTAGCCCCCTTCTCACCAGCTGCCACTTCCAACCCGCCTTAAAGAAGAGTAGGCCGGCTCAGCCGGAGGTCTGGAGGGAGGTCGCGGTCGCGGTCGCGGTCGCGGTCAGCTCGCAGTGAGACTGGGCGCGCGAAGAGACGGCACCCCAATCCCGTTAGAAGACTGCGGCCAGGGCCAAGGATGTCCCGGGCTCCTAGCACGTCCCCCGCCAGCAAACTCGCCAGCACACTCACCAGCGCGCTGCCACGCAGCAGCCGAACCACCGCTCCCTCCATCTGTGCCGCTGGTCGAACGGCGTCGCAGGGTGAGCGAAAGCCTTCCAGTAAATTTCGCGGCCGCTAGCCAGCTCCCCGACTTTGATCCAGGACCACGCCCACTCCGTGCCTACACCCGCCCACTTCGTACCCGCCTACCCGCACTCTGACCACGCCCTCTCGCGCCTACGGAACCCTAAGAAAGACAAAAGCCTCTTTTCCGCTTTTGCGCTACTCTTTGCTCACGCGAGACTTGGGGGAGGCAGTGGGGCGGGAAGGCAGCCGAAGACGTACCGAACATGGCGGCGGCGGCGCCGGTGACGGAGACGGCGGCGGCAGCAGCGGCGACGGCGGCGGCAGCGGCGTTGTACAAGGCGGTGGGCGTTACCCGGTGCGGTTGTCAGGCGGTAAGTAGCAGGCTGCCGTCCGAGCCGGCAGCCACGCGGCTAAGCACGACGGTTAAGAAGGAGCAGCGGGCTGCGAGAGCCGAGGTCTCGGCTGACCGGTTGTCCCCACCAGGGACTCAGCTCCAGCGGAGGGAAGGGCGTGGTCGATTGGTCCGTAGGGTCACGACCCGGGCCCTTCCGGGCCCAAGTGCCGAGGGTGCGGTTCCTGTGGCCGCGGCAGTCCCGAATCAGCCGCGCCCGCGGTGGAGGCGCCGTCGGGCTTGGGCTCGCAGGCTCCTCGGCCGGGGGCTGCCTCGGGCTCTGACAGGTGGTCGTGCCGGGGGTGCCCGGCACTTTGCGTCTTTGCGGGTTCCAGGGCCTGAGGGTCAGATGAGGCGCTGATCTCCTAGGTGTTGCGAATCCTGGTGAGGATGCCGCCCCGACGCAAGTCCTGGGAGGACTTTTCAAACCTCTGTCTTTTATTGATGTTCCTGTTCGGATCCGTTTTTATTGCTTTTGCCCTCTAATTCTGGGGAGGTGTGAGGTTTGGGGAGGACTTTGCAGCAAAGAACTCTTCAGGTTCATGTAGGGTTTAAGTCACTTAATAAACTGGGGTGCGAGTAGCCAAGTCTTGCATCTTGTAAGTGCACGGTAACAATATTCTGAATTGAAGTTAAACCAGTTCCAGCTGCCACCAAACACTGGCCCATTCAGTGTCCCCTTAATGGGCTGTTCAGAATCCAAGAGTAGAGACAAGCGGGAGATGAAATAAAGGCGCTTTAAATCATGAGATCTAAAGAAACTAGAAGAAACTAAACTTCAAGCCACCTTTTAAAACGTCTGGACCAGTAATTTGAAATTCCACTTAATTTTGTTTATATTGTGCCTTCACCGCAGTTACAGATTAATATGTTCTTGGGAATTCGTTACAGCGAATTGAGACGCCAGTTGTTTTTTTGCCCTTAGGGGTCTAGAGTGTTTCCCACAAAACCCTAAGTGTTTTGGTTGCCATAGAGAGGAGAATAACGGTGGGAATCCAGGTGTGCCCCTTCTGGGTGTGCCTGGTGGGGCTTCTGTAAAAACCCCTTCCCACAAACGTTTCCCCTAATGCATTGCTTCTATGCAACCACAGGCGTTCAGCAGTAAGCCTGACCCTTTTAGAAGTGTACTGTAAACAAAGGAAATTAGTAACTTGAGTTTAGAAAGACGTAAACATTTTGCCAAAAATGAAGTCTTAATGAAATCCACTGGTTGAAAAAAAAAATGTAGTCACACTAGTGCATGTTATTCTTTGGTGATTCTTTGAAGCCTTTGTCAAAGTGAATCTGTTACTTTATTCTTTGATTACCTGTTAGTTTCCTTTTTTGGTAATGGGAAAATTGGCACAATTTATTTTTGGAGCTTATTAAACCAGTAGGTGCTAATTAAATGTTTATCATAAAGGTTTTGATTTGTGGTGTGTTTTTCTTTGCAGACTTTTGTGTGGCTTTTCAATTTTAGTTGAAATTCCCTCCATGGCCTTTTGGAGTCCCTCGGTGTGTCTCCAGAGTAAATTTCAATTACTCTGCATTTCATCAATGTTGGAGTGGCAAGAAAAAGGAGGAACTGATTTGGGGTGAAAAGGTTAGATTGTGTAACTCCACTTTTGGATTTCTTCTAACTTGTATTTATTTATGTTTTACTCTGATGTTTTCTGATTTCCCTGAGCCTCATAATGTCCCTTCTCGCCTTCAAGAATTTGTTTTTTGACAGTTCTGTAATCAGAGGAGACGTGTTATCATTCTCTCTGAAAGTCCTGTTCTCTGCAGACCAGTCCTCGCCTGTCGGACTTCTCCGCTGAGTGTGCTCTGCGGCGGAGCACACCTCTCAGTCACCGTAACCATTTGTCTGAGCAAGTAAATGTATCTGTTGAACTGCAGTCACTTCATATGTGTGGGCCTACCTCACCCCCAATTAAGTCACTGTACAAGTACGTTAGCTGCTAAGTGTGCTACTTCAGGATGAGCAGCTCTTTCAAAAATGTTGGCTAATAACAGACTCTACTCTTCCCTAGTCACGTTTTCTTAAAGTTCTCCTATAGCTTAGAAAAAAGACAGACTTTGGAAGGAAGGTGGGTTAGAGAGCCTCCCTGGTTCTTATATCACCTCTTTTTGTGGTTGTAGTTGTCTTCTAATTTGCATGGCACCATCTCCATATTGTTGGCCATGGTGAAGAGGGTGTGTGTGTACACGAGTGTGTGTGTGTACGTACGTACAGGGTCTGCAGAAGTAGCGCCTGCTTGAATCTTGTTGGTAGGGTAATGATGTGTGTACAGTAATTTACAGTTTCCATGTGAACGTTTCACCTAAAATGCCATATGGTGTGCTTGAGTGTGATATTGTTATGCTACAGAATTACATGCCAATGATTATGTAATAAAAGATTTTATAGTAAAAGAAGGGCATTATTTGTGCTGGACCTTGTATTGCTCTAAAACTTCCCATTTATATGAGACTGAAGAAGAAAGATCAGAGGACATCATACAAATAAATACTTTATCCAAATTTTTTAAAAGCTCAGAATTGTTACAGTTGCCTGGTTAAAGGTAAAAAGGTCTTCATGTTCTTTTGGGTATCAAAGCTTATTTCTCAAATATCTTTTTCACCAGGGTGAGTAGACTCTGTTTCGTAAGAACCTTAGTTTTGAGTCTTGAATGGATAATTTGGGAGAAGCTGTTGACATAAAACTAACTGAGGCGTATTCTAGTCAGTTTCTTACGGACATGTGCCGTGTGCCCTGGAATACCCAGTTTAACTTGCATCCGAGCGCTCACCAGGCAGACTGGGGAAGCAGCCCGTGTCAGAGGGAATGCTGCTCATGAAGTATGGAGAACGTTCTTCTCTGTAGTTCATATAATCAGGTGCCAGTTACAGAGAGAATCGCTCAGGCTTGGAATACACCACCCAAATCTATAATGAAAGCGGAGAATTCTTAAATATGTTTCTTATTCTGCAGACGTAATCTTACACTTTGAAATTTTGTATTTTTTTGGTTATCAAGCTCCAAGGTGTTGAATTCATGGCTAGCAGAAAAGATACTTTCAATGAAAACATTACAGTTTTCTGATTTCCAAAGTAGGTTTTTATGTTACTTCTGTAAATGTTTTAAAGTTTATTGGTATAGTAGAAGCATTTCCAGATAGCAGTTAACTTGTGGAGTTCTTAGATTAAATTTTTAGTCCTGAGGCTGTTGGTTATTTGATTATGACAGGTAGTTTGGATATAAAATCTGTATTTTCTTTCAATATCAGAAACTTGTTTTTTCAGAATTATTGTTCATTTTCTATTTATTGGGCTTAGATATACAGACTTGAGCTGGAGAAACCTGGGTCTGGAATCAAAGATTTAGGCATCTTTATTCAGAATTGACTTGCAAGGGCTAGAGTTGTGCAAGGGCCGGTCACGCCCGTGTGTGTGTGTGTGTGTGTGTGTGTGTGTGTGTGTGTGCGTGCACGTGTGTTGGGGGGAAAGGGGGGAGGTGTGATGTAGGTCTTAGGTTACAAACCATATCAGTACATTTAAAACTCTAATTTAGAAATTGCTTTCTTTCATGTTTACAGTGCTGTTTTCCTTTTTACCATTGGCATCCCTTGTTTTTTGATGTTTTAAAGCCCATCATGCATTATGACTGCAAGTCAGCACCCAGTTTATAACGGAACACAGTGAAATGTACACTGTGACAGTGTGATAATAGCCAAGACTGCCAAAATACGCCAGCCACTCTCTGTCATTAGGCTTATTGGTTTTAAAACTTGAGATGCTTGGAAAAAAGTTATTTTGTTCAGCTTTTGCCCTGGCAATCTTCCCCATTTTTTCTGCATTGTTTCCTGTCGTACCCTAGTGGTGGTGTGCTTTCTAGGTAAGACTGGTCTTGCTTATTGAAGCCTGGTCAGAGTGCTTTCAGGTATTTTCCAGTGGAAACATCAGTTTTCATATGAACTGATTGCTAGAAATGGTGCTAAGTTGCAAGGTAAACACCACAGACACGCTGTAGAGCCTTAGAGCTTTTATAATTTATAAAACAATTTTCCAGGTCATCATCATCATCTTTTCTTTAATCTTTTTTCTCCCATTCCTCATACCTTTTCTTTTCTCTTCCCTTCCCCTTCTCTTTCATTGTGGGGCCTCTATCGCCAGTACTGTGTTGAACAGCTGTAGCACAAAACAGTATACAGATGATGTGCTATAAAGTTTTACCCCTACACCCTATACAATTAACCAGTGTGACCCCAATAAGTTCAGTAAAAAAAAATAGTTGCCATAGCAGGCATTCTTGTATTCTTCTTGATTCCAAAGGCCATGCATCTGATCTTCTCTGTTAATTGTAAGGTAGAGTTTTGGAAGATATCCTCTATCAACTTGAAGTTAAAACATTCTCAATTTGGATAAACAGTTACTCACTCTGTTGTTTGCCTTGTACCTTGGGTTGACATTGATGCCCCATATCTGTCTCATTGTTTTTCTTACGTGGATAGGCTGCCATTTCGTTGTAGACAGAGTTGTATAATTTTCTTTGTTTTTGAAGTTTTTAAAGATCACAGTAATATGCCTAAGTGTTATCATATATCCTATTTTACACTCTGTGATCCCATTCAATCTGAATGAGATCTCTGGTTCTGGAAATTTCTTGATCATTTTAAAAAAACACATTTCTCCCTTTTTTTTTCTTTCTGGAACTCATTCTGCACCTCTCTGTACTGTATTTCTTACCTTTTTATGCATTTTTAAAATACTTCTCTCATTCCTCTGTGTTTTGTCTTATTTTCCTCCTCTCAGTTTTATTGATAAATAACCTTATTATATGTTGTTCTTGATCTTAATAATATTTTTCATTGGAGCTGTCTCACTTTTTTTGTCTAATCAAAGGGCAAATTTTAAAGGACAAATAATCAGTAGAATCAACTATAGTCACAAAACAAATAGTAATACAGTGTTATAATGGTTAGGAAACAGAGAACCAGTTCAGGAAAATACCAGGGAGATGGGGAAAGGCAACTGTACAAGCTTTGTGTTTTGTTTTTATTTTCACCTGAGGATATGTTTATTAATTGTAGAGAGAGAGAGAGATCTGATTTGGCTGGTAGGCCAGATTGGGCTCAATGCCTGTTTTTGTAGTTTTATTGAAACACAGGGATACTCTCGCTCATTTGCATATTATGTCAGGCTGCTTTTAGCGACAGTGACAGAGTCGAGTAGTTTTGACAGAGACGGCAGGACTTGGACAGCCTGGACCGTTCACTGTTTGGCCTGTTACAGAAAGGCCCCACCCTCCGTTCTAGATCGCCAATTGCTGCAGTGCTCATTCATGTGAACCCTGCGACTTAAGAGCCTTTGCTGTCCAAAGTGGTCGTCCCTAGCCATCTGTAGCCATTTCAATTTAAATTAATTGAGTACAATATAAAATTCAGGTCATTAGTAGTAGCCACATTTCAAGTGCTCAGTAGCTACATTCAGCTAGAAGCCACGGTACTGGATAATGCAGGTACGCAGCATGTCCATCGTCCAGAAAATTCTGAACAGCTCTGTTGAGCCACTGGGTTACTTTACTGTCTCCAATGATAATCCCTGCTGATGTGCCTATTTCTTTCATCTGGACTTATTTTCTCTTTTTCTCTGTCTTTGTAATTTCCTTCCATCCTCTAAGATTTAAGTATGAATCCTAATTTAAACATATTAAATAATACATTTTAATATTATGGTATTATATACTTATTATAGTCATTGTATCTATTGTTACTTATATTAGTTGTATCATTTAATGTTTATTTTAATATTTAATTAAGCAATATTATTTACTGTTAAATGTGGGAATATTAAATATATTAATTGTCCCCATTTTTGGTATGTCTTCTCTAGTTCACCGGGAAGGTGATACAATATTTAAACACAGGGACTGTGTTCTCTGTTGCTTTGTATAGTGCTTGCACACAATAATCTTTGTCACTGTCGTTGTTTTCGTGTGTACTGGATCTCTCTAACTAGTGTAAAATTATTTCAGTTTTTTTCCCCTAGGTATAACAAACTATAAACTTTAAAAAAATCAAAGATGGGTGAAAAGAAGCCAGAGCCCTTGGACTTTGTGAAGGACTTCCAGGAGTACCTGACCCAGCAGACCCACCACGTGAACATGATCTCGGGATCAGTTAGTGGGGACAAGGAAGCGGAGGCTCTTCAGGGAGGTAGACTCATCTTAATACTAGCAGTCATTCACTTTCCGTAGACAGATTCACGCTTGTATGTAGTTACCATACTACGAAGACCATTATTCACTGATGTGAATCATTCCATTTGTTCTTAAAAAGATACAGGGCAATTTGTTTTTCTTTCTTTAAACATGTCAGGTTTGGGGTGATGGAAAGGGAAACTCCCCAAGGGCTTAACATGGTCCAGAGATGTTTTGTGGTCTTGCTGGAAGATTGGGGGTTCTAAATACCATTCTTGTCCTCTGCGTTCTATCAACTAACAACAGACACAAGCAACCCAGCAGGTCAGGCATCAGCTTCTATGTAGGAAGGGTTCAGCCATTAGGAAATAGGGATGAGACCTGAAACAAGGTGGGGTTTCCGTTTCTTCTCCTTTAGAGTGAAGAAAGGGCTGACCATGTTTACCTGTCTAGGAGGAAAAACTGGGATAGAGAGCAGTGATCCGCTACAGAGCTTGCGTCCAGTTCTTTCACTGCACACACCGGATTTTGGCTCTGACCCTAACTAGCGGTTAGCGCACTGCGGCCTGTGAGCCCATCAGACTGAGGTTTCCGTGTGAGCTGCAAGCTCAGGGTGCTTTCTGCATTTAAAGATGGTTGGAAAAACATCGGAAGAGGAAGAATGTCATAATATGTGAAAATTACATGAAATCCAGACTTTAGCATCCATGAAGTTTCACTGGAATATAGCTACACTTGCTTGTTTACATGTTTTCTGTAGCTGTTTTGGGGGTGCAACTGCAGAGTTGAGTGGTCGTGATAGAAACCATATGGTTCCCAAAGCCCAAAGTATTTACTGTCTGACCCTTAGAGGAAAAGCTCCCTGGCCCCCGACCTAGGTGGGCTGTGGTCTTGTCGTCAAGGGACCAGCAGCAGAAACCTGGAAGCTTGTTAGAAGCGCAGAATGTCAGTCCCCACCTCATGTCTAGTAAATCAGAATGGGTGATTGGAGAGTCACTGGCTTGGGAAGGCAGTCGGGGAGAGGGGACGCTGAGCCGCGCACTTCTGCGACACAGCGGCATTACCGTGTGCCGGACTTGCACCGAGCAGCAGAGTCGCTGCTCCTGGGCGGGGGTGTTGCTTCCGTTCCTTATGTCACACTGCTGCCTTCTGGGGATGGAACAGCTGCTTTTCCCTTGACGCTGTAGGAATAAGCATTTCCTTCCAGACGCCCCCGTGCACGGAGCCCCGGACTGGGATCCAAGAGCCCAGGGCACTGGTCCCTGCTGGTTGATGGTTTTCCTGTTGTGAGCACTTGTCCCTTCCGTTTCTTTCTTTTTTTTTTTTTAAATTTTTAAAAATTTTATTTAGTTATTTTTCAACCCCTTCCGTTTCTTGATTCAAAGAAGTAGTCAGATTAGTTTAAGAGCAAAGAGCCAAACAGACATCTTTTAGCTCTCAAAGCCTTACAGTTGTCACGTTCAGAGGAGTCCAATACAGTATTTTCCTTTGGGTGCTTTACTATAATTTCAAGGTCAAAAATGCAGCCCATAATCTAGGACATGCATACTGACTGAGTGGAACAGTGCAAAACTCAGCATTAACTGGATTAGGCTAAAGTAAATAGAGTTCGGATTTGGGGAGATTTTTATGACTTCCGGTTTTGTGAATGAAGTGGCTAGACTCAAAAATGTGTGACTATACCAGCACCATTGACTCCCCTGTCTCTGTACCTGTCCTGTGAGGGTGACATGCTGTTCCCTTCTACAAAGCCATGCTGAGCACTGATAAAGTGTGCAGGTGAGCTAGTCAACTCTCATTTCAGGAAAGATTTTCTACCACTCAGGACTAAAATGCTATATGAGTTGATTCTGAGATGCATAATTTCTTTTGCTGTACTTTTTTTATAGCTGGAACAGATGGTGATCAAAATGGACTTGATCACCCATCTGTTGAAGTTTCCCTGGATGAAAACTCAGGAATGTTAGTAGACGGGTTCGAAAGGACCTTCGATGGGAAGCTCAAGTGTCGGTATTGCAACTATGCCAGCAAAGGAACAGCCCGGCTTATTGAACATATCAGAATCCACACAGGTAACAGAGAAAGGGCTGGAGAAGGCCCTCTGGTGGCAGGAGAGGGGCCAAGGAGGGCAGGTTGACCTGTCATATCAGTAGCTCTGATGGTTTAAAAATGAAGGCGGATAGGAGGTCTGAATAAATGGGGGAGTTACTCCATTTCTACAAAGCAGTAGCATTACAACGTACAAACAGGAAGTGGGGTCCCTGCTAGAGCCTCCCCTTCCTTAGCCATCTCCTCCTGAATCCAAGTAATCTCTCAGCCTCGGTCTGCTTCTTCGGCTGGGCTGGTTAATGCCCAGGGCAGTATGGAGTGGTAAGATGTTCTCATCTTTACCCTAAGTACATCTCAATTGCAGACTGGGGAAAGGTTTCTGCACCACTGTAGACTACCCCGCTATTCCTCACATCCCACTCTAGCCTTCTGCTGTGAAACCCTCCCGACCACAGGCCAGATCAGGTGTCCCTCCTGTGTGTCCCACTGGCTTCCCACGTCGTGTTGGTGGTCCAGCAACCTATTGAGAACAGGGATTGTATAGTGCCATCTTTGCGCCCCCAGAGCCCCACAGAGCATCAGGTGCGTAGTAGGTACACACACCATGCTTGTTAAACGAATGACTCCAGATCTCATAATCCAGATCATTATTCTACATGTGTGGCCATCTTCAGCTAACAGCACTGACTAAATGGCCCCTTCTGACAACTGAAGAAGAGGAGAGAGGTAGAGGTGAAGCTGCAATTTTGAAGGGACACTTCATATACCTCATATTTGGACTAGCAAGCCCACTTCTGTTTTTAACTTTCTATTGGATATAAGGACTTCTTAAGAAAGGAATCTTGTATTTTTTCCTGAGGAAGGGGTATTTATGTGTGTGTAAATATGTGTGAATAAGGGTCATGTGTCCATACATAGATGAACATGTAACTCTGGGGTATACTTTTGGTAAAATCATTATTATATAGGGAATATTATCATCAGTTGTGCTATTTCTGCCTTCCTCAAATGTCAGTTGAAGCCGTAACAATTTTTACACTGTATCGACTAATAGATTATATGCGTACATCTCAAATTGTTGCTGATGAAGTCCTGAAGCTTTGTTTACAAATTTTAACAATCTTCTGTGCAAATATGAAGTTCTGAAAAGCATTTATTATTGATCAATTTCAAATCTAATGAATGAACAAAACATGAAACTCTAGATACATAAACTCCTCTTGCAGCTTCTCCCCTATTTTTTCTTTCTAAACAGGTGAAAAACCTCACAGATGTCACTTATGTCCATTTGCATCTGCTTATGAACGTCATCTGGAAGCCCATATGCGCTCCCATACAGGAGAAAAACCGTACAAATGTGAATTATGTTCCTTCCGCTGCAGTGATCGAAGTAACCTGTCCCATCATCGAAGGCGCAAACATAAAATGGTACCGATTAAAGGTACTAGGTCTTCCTTAAGCAGCAAGAAAATGTGGGGGGTTTTACAGAAGAAAACCAGCAATCTGGGCTATAGCAGAAGAGCACTAATCAACTTAAGTCCACCTTCTATGGTGGTTCAGAAGCCAGACTACCTTAATGATTTTACCCATGAAATCTCAAACATCCAGACTGATTCCTATGAAAACATGGCGAAAACCACTTCAACTGGTGGCCTACCGAGGGACCCCCAAGAACTCCTGGTTGACAACCCTTTAAATCAGCTCTCCACTCTAGCAGGACAGTTGTCCAGTTTGCCACCCGAGAACCCAAACCCCGCATCCCCTGATGGAGTTCCCTGCCCGGACGAGAAGCCTTTCATGATGCAGCAGCCCTCCGGCCCAGCGGTGGTCGCTGCCGTGTCGGCAGGCATCCCTCAGAGCTCCTCCCCAACAAGCCCTGAGCCTAGGCCGCCGCACAATCCGAGGAACTACAGCCCCGTGGCAGGTCCCAGCAGTGAGCCAAGTGCTCACACAAGTACACCTAGCATCGGAAACAGCCAGCCAAGCACTCCAGCCCCAACCCTGCCGGCCCAGGACCCACAGCTTCTGCACCACTGCCAGCACTGCGACATGTACTTTGCCGACAACATCCTTTACACTATCCACATGGGATGCCATGGGTACGAAAACCCTTTCCAGTGTAACATATGTGGATGCAAATGTAAAAACAAGTACGATTTTGCCTGTCATTTTGCAAGAGGGCAGCATAACCAACACTGATAGGAAACAGTCACACTGTGCTTAACTTGGTTTTGCCTTTTTGCATCGTGTGGTTTTGTTGATTGTTGTTTTTTGGGGGGGTGTTCATCCCTAATAAGGTGTCTGCTAATTTAAAGTTTATACATTATATTTATAGAAAACAAATTTGACAATGGAAACAAAATGTTTGCCCTTTTTTTTCCCATAAAAGTCTGGTCAGGGTTGTTTATATATTAGAACAATGAGACACACTGGTGTCTGTTTTGCTTTCATTTAGACATTTGAGAACTGAAGTGTACCCTTTATCTTAAAGGTGTTCATTTAAACTTCCCACATTTATGGTCCGTATAAACTTCAAAGCTTATCGATACTCTTGATGTTTCAATATGTACGTTGCAGCTGGATACTATTTCTACCATATTTCAAAATAGTAGAGTACATTACTTTCTCACAAAATTTGTTACAACTTATTTCAGTGTTGAGTAGAGGAATTGCCTTTAAAACTGCTCCTAGTTGAAATACTATTTAGTTCACATAGTTTAAGTTGAATTAGTTTCATTTCAACTGATAATAATAAAGCTATTTCAGTGTATAGTAAACCTTTCTTTTTTCCCATAAGGGGAAATATAAAACAGCTAATTTTTTTAAATTATAGTTATAAAAATATGAGAGAAAAGTTCTGAAAAGAAATGAAACTTAAGACTTTACATTGAAAATGGAGTTTACTATTTAAAAACCTGTTTATTCCTAGTTTAAAGATACGTCAATTTTCCACTGGATTCTTTTTGTTATACTTCTAGCTTATGTATTTTTAAAAATTACAGGTAAATACATGAGAATGCTAGAAATATCAGAAGATTATCTATGAAAATGCCTTTTTCGTTCTTTTACTTTGAACCTTATATTTAAACCCTTCAATCTGACATTATTACTGATGTCAGGTGAGGTGGAAAATGATACCAAGAATCTATTCCTTGGTTTCTACTCCTATTCCTTTGATGACCAAAGAGGTGCAGTGCAAACCATCCGTTGATTCCCAGGAAATGCTGTCCTTAGGAAAAAGACTTCCGAAGTTTCTTTTGCCTGCTTTGTATCTATTTGTTGGCCATAATTTCAAAAAAAGAAAAAAAGTTGGGTATGGAAACACGTGGAAAAACGTGATGGTGAAGTAATATTTTTAAAAATGAGGGCATATATCCAAAACAGATACTGGTTTCTGCTTCAGAATTGGCCATTAAGATATTTTGTGTGAATTCAAGTTTTAATGCTTATTTGCAGCTTTAACAGTCTTTCTGTACATTACAAAACTATAGGGAAACTGATTGAGTTGTCACCTTAGTAGGAAAGGATTTTAAAATGTGAAAATAGATATAAAATGCATTTAAACATGGTATTTGTTTACAAAAATGAGACTTGCTAAATCTAGAGTAATTTTGAATAGGAGGCTATTGTTTATATATTGTATAATAACTAGCTTACTCTCAAGAGAGCTTGGTCAAACAATAAAATATATTGTTACTAACTGTTGGTTTCTGTGTACTTTGCAAAAATTTTATTTTTAATTTGGTTCAAAGTTTGAAAGTGTTACTAATTGGCTTTGTAAAGAAGATGCCCTAACGACGGAGCATTTATTAAACAAAAAAGACCACTACTCTAGGAGTAAATAAGAGAAATATCGATAGCGTATATCCGCAAAAACCCCACGTACCGAGTTAATGGGGCTGCTTGCCTCCCAGTTGCTGGAAAGCCAGCGGAGTGAGTTCTTGTGGTTTAACATCCAGCCCAAACTCATCTCCTGTGCACTGTTCAAAGAAGTGGGATCTCGGAGTTTCTCCGGACTGTGCTTCTCTTTCCCGCCAGAGACGAGGCTTGCATCTCAGTTCCACTGTCCCATTTCGCCCTGATGCTTAGGTTGCCCTCGGCTCAGGTCCGTTCCAGTGCTGCCATTTTCACGTGTGTAACTTGGCCCCACTATTTACTTATTGCCAGAAAGAAGGAGGTACCGTCATTTGGAAGCTTTTATTTTTGCCCTCTCACTTTTATTTTATCGTTAAAATAAAAGCAACACCCAAAATAGAAATTGGAAGCTTTCATGAAACAAAAGGAAGAACTCTCGTTAAAACCAGTTTATTAACTCTATATTCTGGGCCAAATGGTGACAGGTACATTTTTTTTCTGACAACTAAATATAGATGTTTTGGAGGTGCATTTTAATTTAAGCATAGAACATTTTCTTCCATAATTACAAACTAGAATGTATAATTCTAATCTTGCTATGACTTGGCATTCCAAAGGTGTTGATGCTTGAAAGCTACAGTTACTCCTAAATGCACTAAAGGTTTTGAAGCAAACCTATCTTAGAAACCTTTTTTGTATTGTATTTTTAAACAGATTGAGGATTTTAAATCTTCTGTGAGTTAAATGTATCTCTCATTAAATATTGAATATATTTGTCCCATTTTATTTTTAAGCAACTATTTTATAGAAATGAGTTGTTGGGGAAAGTTTAACATGCAATATTTATAGTATTTTGCTGTTAACAGGCAGTGTTCTGAAATTAAATTTATTTTTGTTCAGTGAACATAAGTTTAGATTTTAAAGTTGGTAAGATAATTTATCTCCACTAATATATTTTTAAGAAACTATGAAGTCATTAATAGGGAATTACTTTATTTCAGATTCTACTCATGTATGTAGCTACAACTTCTTGAAATTCAAGTAAAGGCCTAGACTTTTACTTTGAAAAAATTCCATTGGATATTTTCCACTGCTATTCATTTTAGAAATAAGTGTTTGCCATCTGTCTGCAGGATCATTCGACAAAGGGAATATTACTTTAAAAATGTTCAGAGATAAACCTCACTTTAAGTTCTACAAAAATATTTATCAAATGGACATAGTTTTAAAAGAATTCCCTGCTAAGCATTTTTTTTATTAAATAGTCTTAGAGGGTATATGATCTCTAGAATATGTTTTTGTTAATATATACTTTGATGTAAAGAACATATTTTGTATGCAAAACAAATCGAGTATGGCTGCGAAAACTATATTGTTTAGGGATTCCAGAAAGAGATTTAATGCTGAAATAACCACACCTAGTATGTAGTTCATTTTGTGAAAGAAGCTCTGCTTTTGTAATATATGAATAAAAAAATAACGCTTTCTAATGATTTCGATTTTTCTTTTTTGAGAACTAGGATCCAATTGGTTTTCTTAAGTAACTTTCCAGTATGTAAAATGTTAATTAAGAGAAAAGGGTTTCTTATTGGCAACCTTTGTTTGAATTTGAAGAATGCCTCACCCATGAGAACGTCTGTCACGTGAGTTAGAATGGGCTCCGAGCATCCCCGTTTTGTCTCCTTTCTAGTTTCTTCCCTGTATTTAACATCCACGCCTCGCCTGGAGACTGCTGCCCCTCCCCCGCCCTCAGGGCTCTGAGGCTGCTGGAGGCTTAATCACCCTGTAGCATCTCACAGGTAGCTGACTAAAGTAACTTCTGTAACAACAAATGGATCTTTTAGGGTGACTGATTTTTATAAAAAAGGCAGTTCACTTCACTGGCCTAGAAGACATTCAGTAATACGGAATTATTGTCGTCAGTTTGCAAAATCTTAACCAAAATCAGACATTTGATTAGAAAGTCAGAATTTTAAATGCTGCTTCGAAAAATACTTCTGCACAATGCTGTCTTTCTCATAATGAAACAAAGAAACAACACCCGATAATCCAGCCGTGTGTTGAAAGCATGGGTATTTTTTGTTCCCTTGTCTTAGGTCTTCCAGAAACTCTGCTTTGAGCTTGTTAAGTTCTTCTGCTAGAAGTTTCAAGTTGTAAGAAGGCACTTGTTCATCTAGAATCAAGATATTCTAAAATTATTTGCGTAAATTAAATCAAGTTGGGCTGTCTAGTGACATCAGGAAATTAATTTGATTACTTTGGACAAACCAATCAGATTCTTAAAGTCATACTTGAGTTGGTATACTATATGGACCAAAGGTTGCATTAATATGGTACAGCGAATCATTGTAATAACTTGCTATGAAATTCCTGAGCCTGTGAGGGGATTTTTTTGTTGTTGACAAGAGAGTTGACTCAACATTCTTGAACTAACAAGTAGTGAGGCAAAAAAAGAGATAGCAAATGACATTTTGGTTTTGAAACTGGGATGTTACCTACTACAGTTGTCTGATACAACTTTCTACAGTGATGGAAGTGTCCTGTATGGACCCTGTTCCACCCAGCACCCACTAGATGGCTGTGTGGGCGCTGTGACTGGAACTGAATTTTCTTGTTAAACAGCTTTTTTGAGAGAGAATTCACATACCACACAATTTAGCCATTTCAACTACAGCTCACATACCTGCACCTACCACAGTTTTAGAACATTTCATCGTCTTCAGCTGCTACCCTCTCCATCCCCGCCACCCCTCCCAACCCCTAAGCAACCACCAGTCTACCTTGTGTCTAGATTTCCCTGTTCTGACACCTCACCCGAGGACTCATGTGGCCTTTCTGATGTGCTGCTTTTCATTTTGCAGCTTTCAGGGTTCATTCACGTTGTAACATATTGATGCTTCATTCTTAATCCATGTTATGTATGGATATACCACACCAGCTGATGGACATGTGGGTTGCTTCCATCTTTTGGCTCTTACGGATAATGCTGCTATAAACATTTGTGTACAAACTGTCGTATGAACATGTTTCATTTCTCCTGAGTGTGTCCCTAGGAGGGGAACTGCTGGGTCCCGTGTAACCCTACACTGCTAGGCTGTTTGCCAAAGCAGCTGCACCATTTTGCACCCCCCCTAGCTGTGTAGGAGGGTTCTGACTTCACCACATCCTCAGCAACACTTACACTTTTTGATTCTCGGTGTCTAGTGCGTGCGCAGTGGTATCTCACTGAGGTTTTGAGTTGCATTTCCCCGATGACTAAGCTTGTGTTCACAGAATATACCCAGCGTACCTTTGGCTTCCTTCATTGTCTGAGAGACAATTCTTCGCAGCGTCTGATCAGCTTGATGAAGAATGTTGGTTGAACAAACAATTCTGTCTGTTTCCTGTGTAACACAGATGTTGTTTTTAGAAGTTACATAGTTTTACAAAAGACCCGGCTAAAGTGGAGGTGAGCTGTTTGAAAAGATGGAGAGGCTTCTCTGTTCCAGTTATTCTTCCCTCGCAGGGGGTTTAAGTGAAATACATCCAGATGTAAACTGGGTTCCATGCGGGCGGTGGGATATCCAGTAATAGGCTCTCCAGAAAAATTTTTTTAGAAAACCCAAGACCTATCTGGAGTGTTTGTTAATATCTGTGGAGCTTCATCCTTGCCCATCTCAAGCTGTCAACACCAAGGTCTGGCATTTCTGAAAATGTAACAGCTGAGCAGCAAGTGTGGCTGCCACTGGGGCGCCACTGTGTCCGGGGGCCCGGAGCTGAGTGCCGGGCATCCTTCACCAGCTACTCCTAAGTTACACTCCGCGCAAAAAGATCTTCCTGCAAAAAGTTGTTCCTTCTCATTTACACTAAACCGAAACCGGAAGACTTACCTTTTGTTCCACGTTGTCTTCAACATATTTTACTGGATTTTCCAGAGCAGTGAGCAATAAATCAGTCAACTCCGGGCTGTAAGAAAAGGTGGGGTAAAGTCAGTCATTTCAGTAAACTTGTGTTTTTAAAGAACTTGTGTTCATGAATACCAACTTGAATTCTAAAAGAATAAAAGTGCTATAATCCAAGATCCTAAACAAAAGGGGGACAAAGCAAAATGACTTAAAAACTGCCTTACACTTGGCAAAATTCAAATGTAGAAGCCCAACAAATCCTAAGTGCCCCCAAACCCTTCATTTAACAAAAATATTAATATCAAGACATATCAGTCAATAAGGTTTGGGGAGATACTGTCTTTTCTCTCCTTAAGTGCTGACCTTGAGGCCACCAGAACTTCTCTGATTCCCTAACCAAAGACGTGCCATCTTCACTGTCTGACTTCCGCTCGTTCACTGCATGTGGATCAGCCAAGGCCCTCACTTGTCCAGGGCCTGGGGAGGGTTGCGGTAGAATTCATTCATTCATTCAACAAATATTTATTGAGCATGTTGTATGAAAAACATTGTACAACCAGGTACGTGAAGCTGCTAAGCTGAGGGTAAAGCAAGATCCCCACCTTCTCCAGGAAATAACATAATGGAGAAAAACATAATAAACTAAGCAAAAAAATAATTTCAGACAGTGGCAAGTGGCGAATTAAGAAAACAACAGTGATGGATAAGAGCGACTGGGTCCTCTAACATTCTTCACGGCTAGTGAGAGGGGTCAGGGAAGCCAGTTGAGCACAAACACGGGGCAGGGTAGAGGGAGCCGCAAGTACAACGTCCCCAAGGTGAGAACAGGTGTGTGTTCATGCAACAGAGGTGGCTGGTCTGGTTGAAAAGTAGCAAAGGGACAGATGCAGGATCAGATGCATCTAATTAGATGCAGGATCAAGGTTAGGACATGTCGGCTCTGATAAGGACTTTGGATTTTACTCAGAGTGCAAAGGATAGCACTGAAAAAATTTAAGGCAGTGAACTGAGTTAAATCTCAGTCTCAAGAGGAGTTTTCTCAATGGAAAGAACCCAGGCTGGAGGGTGAGGGAGCACTGGGTCCAGACCTTGGCTCTGCCACTTTAGTAAGTGGCCGGATGCGTTAGTGTCCTTGCCTGGGCCTCAGCTACCCCCTCTCTAACAGGGGGAGAACTGTATGTACCCCCAAAGGGTTATTGTGTGGATTCAATGAGAGTACACAGAAAATGTGTCCAGAGCACATCCCGTATGGAGCATCTGCTCAGTTGCCGTTGCTGCCAGAGCAGTAACAGGATTTCATAGAAGCCTGGGAAGGAGACACCTATCAGATTATTTTCCTAAGAGAGATTATCTTCCTAAGAGAGGCTGCCAGACTTCAACCAACCTGTTCAGTGCCGCTGGGACTTTTTGGACATGTGAGAACACGCGACCAGGTTCTGAAGGCCCAAGACCGATCGGCAGATTGGGCTGAGGGCCAGACCGGCACCAGAGAAGCCCACCCTCCTCCCCCTGCTTGCAGCAAGAACTGAAAACACTGATGCTAATCTTATGCTGTTCTCAGGCATACTGCAACATTTCAAGCAGCTGCCAAAGGAAACGTTTTAAGTATTCCAAAACGAGTTACTAGCGATTGGTGCCTGCTCCAAGTTCCAGGGCATTATGAGTTAAAATTAGAAACCTCAGCAACAAGCTTATTGTATAAACCCTATAAACAATGGTCACTTAAATCCAATTTTTAAATTATGTGAAAATATTTATTATAAAATACACAGAAACTATATTCTGGGAACCAAACATTTTTGAAGAATGACTTGTAAAAAAAGAGCCTTTAAAAACTGCAGATCCCCTATGGACGAGAGGTGGGAGTTTGGGAAATGTGGGCAATATACCTCTAGAACTGCACTGTCTGATGGAAGAACCACCTGCCACACGAGCCCACTTACGTTTAAAGTAATTAAAATGTAAAGTGCAGGTCATCAGTTGCACTGGCTATATTTCATCTGCTTCACGATCACATGTGGCTGGCAGCAACCACACTGGACAGTGCAAACACAGAATATTTCATCAGTGAAACAGTGGAATTTCTATCAGATATGTGCTGTTCTACAACGCTCAAGGCACATATTATGAATGCAGTGCCTCAGACACAGGCCTTGCCTACACAAAGGAGGAAAATGACAGCGAGGTTTAAGGCAAAACTAGGATTCAGTATCCATCCCACTCTTTCTTTCTATAACAGTACTACTGGGCAACTATTTAGCTTAATCTGCCACTTCAGCAAGAGTATCAAAGATGCGTCCTACGCGCTGAACCCCTGCTCCGACCTCTGAGAGACCAGAATCCTAACCAGGGCACATGTTTGGGAACAAACGTGGGTTCAAATCTCAGCTGTCCCAAGCTTGCTGACTCTGGGCAAACAAAACTTTCTCGCTCAGTTTCCTCTTGAACGCAAAAGGGGAAATGACAGTATCTCTCCAAGGCCTGTGTGAGGATCAACCGAGTGGATGTACTATAACTGAAGCATTCAGCACAGCGCCTGCCGTAGGGAGACACGCAGGGAAGGATGGCTTTGAGTAGGGTACCTGGCTCCAGAAGAACACGCTGGACTCCGAATTGTGAGGCTGTTGTGTTCCCAAGCATTTTTCTTGGGGTTTGGCTCTTCTATCTTTCTCGTCATCAGTTGGATGGTCTCAGCAGGCAGTGCCTGAGGTCTCTGGCCGTTCCTCTGTAAACAGGTCTCGAGAGAACAATCTAAAAAGACCTGGCAAAAGCCTAATGAATCTGAAAACAGTTTGAAACCACAAGAATTACTGGTGTACTATTTTCCAAAATGGGAAATAAATATATTAGACAAATTATCCCAGCCACAGCAGGGAAAACCATTTGCAATACTGAGCATCTAGCTTTGAGTTCACAGCCCGCCCTCAATCCACTGAGCTACATACACCAGCCAGGGCCCTTTAGCTTTGAAAATTAAGTAAATTCATATAGACCTCCTAATCCAATTAAATTCCCAATGAAGACAATAATGTCTTCATTGACATGCAAATAAATGTGTGGGTGTGTAAGGAAAAAATATTCTAATTACATTTTCGAGCCAGCTGGTAGACTTCATATCTCATACTTTGATAATAAAAGTTGTCATCTAAAATCAAAAACAAAGGCCCAGAAATAGCAGTCTTCGTTAAGAGGCAGCTAGACGGGGCCTCAAGGGCTGCAGAGGACAGCAGGTCTTGGTCCTTCAAGCAGGTTATAAAATCTTCCCACATGGCTTCTCTCCTGTTGGGCGGGGCAGACATCCGACAGCTGTTAATGACAGCCAGCAAGAAGTGCTCTATGTACTGCAATAGTTCCTGTCGAAGCAATTTCCACTGGGATGGCTGTAAAAGACCGAAGAACTGCAATGTATAGTAGATTAAGGCAGGCATGCCTCCTGGCCACCCAGCCCCATATGAAAATTTCCGCCTGCCATACTGAGCCATTTGGAGTTCCCTAAACATAACTAACCTCTCATGTCTCCAAGTCCTCCTATAAAATTCCTCGTCAATGATATTAGTCCTTTGTGGACTCTTCTCAGACTAAACCTTGCAGAAGACAGTTCAGACCCTCCCCTGGCTATCAGGACACCTTGTCCTGTACATATTGGGTCTTCACTCCAGCAGGGTTTACACTGTAGGGACATTTGTGTGTGCAGCTCTGTGTCCCCGCTAGTCCATTGTACACCCAGCCTCCAGCAGAGGGTCTGGCACCAACAGGTGCTTCAGGAAACCATATTAAATCATTGAATGGCTGAATGAGTGAATAAATGAATGAAAAGCTGTTGTGACCATCCAGGAGAAAGGAGCCAAAACCAGTATCCTGCCAAAATAAATAAGTGTGGCTATGATGGAGCAATGCCGGTTTGTCTTTGAAACGAGAAGAGTTGTGGACAGAAAAAGGATCCCCCAGATAGGTCCCTGGGTCAACTGAGAAAGACCTAAGGCTAACAACAGGGTGGAAATGGGGTGGGGAAATGTAGAGGAAGCAGACTGAAGGGAAGAGAATAAATAGCTTGAAAATACATGTGATCCTGCGCTGCTTGAGGGCTGTGGAGAGCACTAACATAGTTCTGAGGTCAAACACAAGGACGGGAGATCAGGGTCCCTCTCCTGCCTGTCCCTGCCTTACCACATCGCTGAAATTGCAGCACATACAACAAATCCATCAGCAAAACTCACTAAAAAGGAAACCCACTAAAAAAGGTGAGATAGCCTTCTCCTGTGACCAGGCGAGTTTCATGGCCTTCGTCTGTAGGAGGAGAGTGGCCCAGCAAATTACAACAATCACTACCAACAACTTTCAGCTTTCTCCAGAGTGCTTAAAATACTATCATCTAGGTATACCAGCTTCTGCCAGGGACTTGACGCTGTATTTGCCTCATAATGAGCAAAAAAACGGGAAAATGTATAACTTTGCTGGAGTGGTCCAAAATGCTTCTGTACACTGCACATACTGTACTTCTGCATACAAACTTATGGAGTGGAATCATGTCATATTTGCATTTTATTTATGGTGAATTTATCTACACTCAGGCACTAATGACAAAAATAAGTATTTAAATTCTTCAGAATATTTCAACCAGGTGTGAATGTAGTCTTCCCCCAGAGGTCTGTTTTCACCTGCACCCTTCACCTGCATCTCCAAGGGGATGCCTCTCATTGCACTGATTGTGATTTGAGGACTAAGGAGAAGTATATACTGGACAAGTTGGTCCCTAATACAAGCTCATTCCTTCATGGGGTGAAGACAGCTATCTTTTCCAATGCTGGCGCTGGCAGGTTTACCCTGGGGTGAATGAAATTGAGCTTCAGATCCTTCATTTGTACAGCATCTTTATCGTCTTGGGAAAGGCCCTAGCAATTTTGTTATTTACTATTTTGTATTATTTTTATTAGAAAGGGTTCTCCAAATTATATAAGCTTTAAGCCCCACAATACCTGGATTCGCCCCTGGCTGGCTGTTAATGTTGGAACTTTTGAGAGAATAACTCTCCCAAAGGATTTTCAAGAGTATATTTAACTGTGGGGACTTGCACCTCGCATGCCGACTTCAGAACCTGTCTTATAAGACTCCACTGTCAAGAATACACAATACATATATGCCCTATGTACACATATAAACCTCTGCAATAAATTAGAATAAGATGGAGTCAACTCATTCTATTAAACAAGCTCCACTTTCCTCGAACTCCGGTCGCTCCTCGGTATCTAGGCTAAGGTTCCCCCGCCAGGTGTCGCCCAGGACGCAGTGTGGTGTGTGCAAGTGCCCAGTGCACTGCAGCCTAGGCCCCGCCCCCTGTGTACTTACTTGTGGCCGTGCGCCCGCCTCCTCGAGGAATGCGTCAGGCATGATGTCATCGTAGGCGACGACGCCGACGGCCCAGCCCAGCTCCCGTTTGAGCCGGAGGCTGAGGGCCCGCGCGAAGGTCGATTTTCCTGCCGCGGGCAGGCCGCAGAGGACGCAGAGTCCTAGCTTCCGCTGCTCCTCTCCACGCGCACCTCGGGCCTCCACTCCGGGCTTCATGTTGCCCGGGAGACTGAAGGCCGCTGCGAAACTGGTCTCCGGAACCGTCCTCCAACCGCGCGTGCGCAGTCTCCCACCTCCCTACTGCGCCACCTGGTGTCGCGTTGGAGGAATGGGCTAGTTTGTGAATCTGAAATGATACACGTGGTCACCTGAAGTGCTGGGGCCGACCCCTCTGTGACGCGAATCCTTTAGGCTGGGAAGACCACGGCAGATGCGTTTCCAACCCTGGGACATTTTTCTAAAGTGTCAGAGAATTGAATTTAATCTTCAGTTAGAATCATTCTCCCTACCAGAAACTTGCAAGACATTAGGATTTGTGCTCTCAATTAGTTACGATGAATTCCCCTATGCAGGGAAATCACAGAATGAACCTCTTCCCCCAGCGGTGATGGAAGGCCAATTACTGGAAATCAAAGAATAGGAGGGGAAACTAACAGTCTGACGACCGGGCTCCGCTGCCCCTCTTCGATGTAATTGACAGGCGGAAGGTCAAAGTAGCTGATAGTTGCGTTCTAACGCCGAGTGGGCAGCAAGCATGAGGCAACTGGGGCAGCAAAGGAACATACCTAGACCTCAATTCTAGTGCGTTCATGCAGAGGACAATGGGTTATTTTAGCGTTAAATACTAAGCTGTGGAGACATAAAAAACAAATTCCTTGTGTGAGGAAATGGTTTTTAAAAAATTGAATTAAGATTCTAGCCTTCACCTTATTTTAAGGTATGTTCAAAATGTGAGCGAGGTTAAAACAATGTATACTGAGGGAAAAAATGCAACCAATAACTCAATGCTAAATCATGCAGTTGGAATTACAGCCTTTTCAGATTTGTTTCTTTCATTACTAGTGCATATTAATAATATGCACCAAAGATTCCTGTCTCTTCTCATGGCTTGGAAGCTCACATCTTTTTAGTGCTGAATAATATTCCATCGTCTGCATAAAGCAGTTTATTCGTTCACCTACTGAAGGACAAGACATCCTGGTTGTTTCCAAGTTTGGACAGTTATGGGTAAGACTCCTATAAACATCTGTGAGCAGGTTTTAATGTGTAAGTTTTCAACTTATTTGGGTAAATACAAAGGAGCATGCTTACTGGATCTTATGGAAGAAGTATATTTAGACTTGTAAGAAACTGCCGAACTGTCTTCCAAAATGGCTGTACCATTTTGTGTCCCCACAAGCAATGAATTAGAGTTCCTGTTGCTTCACATTCTTGTCAGCACTTGGTGTTGTCAGTTTTAGATTTTAACCATTCTAATCGTTGCAGAGTAGTATCTTGTTACTTTAACTTGAAATTTCCTAGTAACATGTAATGTTGAGCACCTTTTTATGTTTATTTGCCATCCGTATGTCTTTTTTGGTGAGGTGTCTATTCAGATCTTTTGGCCATTTTTAAATTGGGTTGTTCATTTTCTTATTGCTGTTTTTAGAATTTTTGTATATTTTTATAAGTCCTTTATAAGATACATCTTTTGCAAGTATTTTTCCCAGTGTATAGCTTGTCTTCTCATTCTTTTGATAGTCTATTGCAGAGCAGAAATTTTATCTAATGCAGTCCAGCCCACCAATTATTTCTTTCATGAATCCTTTAGAATCAAGTTTCACTAAAATCTCTTTGGGATTCTTATTGGAATTTTATTGAACCTGTAACTCTGTTTATAACATTTAGGTCCAATTACTTGTTTCCTAATAAAGTTTTATACTCTTTTCCTATAGATGCCATATATAGATATCTTTTAAAATTTTAATTAGTATTCTCTGATAATATTGTAATTGGTATGCTCACTAATTGTTTTCTATTTGTTTCCTGTTGTTGTAAAGAAATGCAGTTGACTTTTGTATATTAACCTTATATCCTGCTGCCTTGCTAGCTTTTCTTATTGTTCATACAGGTCAATTATTTTTTTGAGGGTCTCTCATTTCAAGTGTATCTGATGTCTCCTCATGGTCGGATTTAGGTTATTTTCTTAGCAAGAGTACCACAGCAGTGCCATATTCTGAAATGAAATGCAGAATGTTGGTTTTCCCTACTATTGGTGGTGCTAATGTTAGCCAGTCGGTTAAGGTGATGTCTCCAGGTTTCTCCACTGTAATACAACTAACTTTCTCATTAACATCTCATGGAGAGCTACCTCTGTTTCCTATGAAACTTTCCCCACTTTCTCATCTGGTCAATTACAGCTATGATGGTCTTCAGATGGTGATTTCCTAACCTTGTCCTTCTTCTATATTTATTGGGGTTCTACTGAAAGCAGGATGTGTTATCATTTGTATCAGAATGGATTTATAGATGTTCTTCTTGAATGAATTTTATTGAATGGATTCAAATCTATGAGTGGTTAGTGCTCAAACTGTCTCAGACTTGCAAAGTGGAGGAGCTTCAAGCTGACTTTTGTCATGTTCCCATCATTTTTCTAGAAAGATTTAAATTTATTTTTAGAGAGAGAGGAAGGAAAGGAGAAAGGGAGAGAAACAATTGGTTGCCTCTCGTATGTGCCCCAACCAGGGACCAAACCTGCAACCCAGGCATGTGCCCTGACTGGGAATTGAACTGGCGACGTTTCGCTTTGTGGAACAACGCCTACCCGGCTGAGCCACACTAGTCAGGGCCCCATCATTCTTTCGAGCCTTTCCTTATGTTAAGGTACTTCAATATGTTGCAGGTCCGTCCTGTCCTTTCCCTGCCCTAGCTCTGGAAGCAGCCATTTCTCCAAGAAGCTCTGGTTTTCCCCTTGTTTTTCAGTGGAGATCGGTACTCAGAAATCAGGATCTGGGCACTAAGTGTGCTCAGTGTTACAGATGTGTTGTTGCTTCTTGCTATTTCAGTAGAGAGAGCTGGGAAGTCTTTAATATCCAGCCAGCCAGCCATCATGAGTTCACCAGGGCACCTTCAATACCTGTGCAATACCACAGGATTCATTTTAAAGGTTCTTTTTTCCATCTTTGTAATTTCTTTGTTTATCAGTGAGAAACCTGCTTCTTAGAATCCTCAAAAATGTACTTATTTGCTCAATTCTGGAATACAGAACCACTTTTAAATCACTTTTCAATGTCACTGGGCAAAACCTAGCAAAGGTAAGTATACCTCTTTTTAATCTTTAGTATGAGGATATATAGCCAAAATATTGCATTCAGAAGTTGCTTGAATCATAACTACCCCCATCCTTGATTTTTGTTGTTTTTGAGGATACTAAACATTGGCAGGGTTCTCCCAGATCCCGTCTACTCCATTCCCACCCAGTCCTGTAGGTAACCAATCACATTTGTTTTTCTTGCATTTCTTTTTTCAAAAGTGGGCACGTGTATATTTTATTTCCCCTTCCCTCTTATACAAAAGGTGGCACAGTAGAAATTCTTTTGCACTTTGCTTTTTTCCTGCTTAATTAACAATATATCTTGGAAACTACTACATCACTTCATTCTTTTTCTGTGGCAGTATGAGACTCTGCTGTACTGAAGGACAATATTGTATTCAGTACTTGCCTGTGTATGGACATTTAGGTTTTCAATATTTTAAAATTACAAAGAATTCTGATGAATAGCCTTGGAGACTATCTATCTGTCTATCTATCTATCTATCTATCTATCTATCTATATTTTTTCCTGTATTTGACATTATCTTCAGCATTTGACATTATCCTCAGAAATTCTTAGAAATAGAATTTCTCTTTGAATCATTGGCAAGTCGCCAGTCTTCCTACTGAGTTTTCAAAAAGCAACATTGTCCTAAACTGTGAGACAGATGCTCAAATGATATCAGGTCTTGAGCTACTTTTATATTACCTAGTCTGTGTTTTTCTCTTTAGTGTTTTTCTGCCTTCCCAAAGACTGCTCTGCTCCTCGTATTGAGAGGCTGAATACATAAATTCCATAAACATGCTGAAAGACCCAGAATAATCATCAACCTCACTAACCCTAAGAGCCACCAAAGTGTCTGAGGAAAAATCAAAGCAGTTTTACTAAGATAAAGGGGATCCTAATGTCACCAACCTCTGCCTTATAGCAATGATGGTGAGACAGATTTCAGTTCCTTGGTTTCTTAAGCTTCCAAAAAGCAAACTATATGGAAGTCCAACAACCAAGGAGGAAAAGAAGAAACATTCTTCCAGACTGGTAGGATGGGTGGAGACAGGCAGCCAGGGCAGAGAGGATTCCAGGCAAGGTGGCAGCTGGCAGACTGGGGCAGGCGCAGCTGGAGGAGCAGGTGGTCCCACATTCGTGTGCAGATAAACCAGGAAGAACTACTGGGGAGTGGCATAGATCGTGCAACCCAAGGTTCCAGCACTGGGAAATAAAGCCTCAAAACCTCCGACTATAAAAACCTGTGGGGGTTGCAGGGGCAGGAGAAAGTGCCAGTCTCACAGGAGAGTTTGCTGGAGAGATCCACAGGGTTCTAGAATGTACACAAATCCACCCACCCAGGAATCAGCACCAGAAGGACCCAGTTTGCTTGTGGGGAGTGGAGGAAGTGACTGGAAGGAAGCCTGCAGAGAGCCAAGCAAGTAGCATTGTTCCCTCTTGGCCTCTTCTTCCACATACAGCACCACAATGTAGCCACATGGGCTGCCTCACCCTGGTGATCACTTAAGGATCTGCCCCTTATAACACCTGTGCTGAGATTTTTAAAAAAATATGGCTTTAATAAAAGAATAAATCAAAGCTCCAAAAATAGAACTAAGCAATGAAGAGACAGCCAACCTATCAGGTGCAGAGTTCAAAACACTGGTAATCAGTATGCTCACAGAAATGTTTGAGTATGGTTGCAAAATAGAGGAAAAAGTGAAGACTATGAAAAGTGAAATGAAGAGAAATGTATAGAGAACCAACAGTGAAGGGAGGGAAACTGGGACTCAAATCAATAATATGGAGCAGAAGGAACTATTAAACATTCAAACAGAACAGAAGGAAGAAACAAGACTTCAAAAAAATGAGGAGAGGCTTAGGAACCTCCAGGACAACTTTAAACATTCCAACATCTGAATCATAGGAATGTCAGAAGGAGAAGAGGAAGAGCAAGAAATTGAAAGCTTATTTGAAAACATAATGAAGGAGAACTTCCCCAATCTGGCAAAAAAAAAAATAGACTTCCAGAAGTCCAGGAAGCTCAGAGAGTGCCAAAGAAGTTAGACTCAAGGAAGCACACACCAAGGCACATCATAATCACATTACCCAAGATTAAAGGAGAAAATCTTAAAAGCAGCAAGAGAAAAGACAGTTACTTACTGTAAGATGTTTCCATAAGACTATCAGCTGACTTCTCTGAAGAAACCTTACAGGCAAAAAGGGGCTGGAAAAAAGTATTCAAAGTCATGAAAGGCAAGGACCTATATCCAAGATTACTCTATCCAGCAAAGCTATCATTTAGAATGGAAGGGCAGGTAACGTGCTTCTCAGATAAGTTAAAGGAGTTCATCCTCACCAAGTGCTTATTGTATGAAATATTAAAAGGACTTATCTAAGGAAAAGAAGATCAAAAACTATGAACAGTAAAATGACAACTCACAACTATCAACAACTGAAACCTAAAATCAAAAACAAACTAAGCAAACAAGTAGAACAGGAACAGAATCACAGAAAGGAGATCACATGGAGGGTTTTCAGCAGGGATTGGGAGCCGGGGAGATTAGGGGAAAAGGTACAGAGAATAGGAAGCATAAATGTGGTACAAAATTGACAGGGGGAGGTTAAGAATAGTGTTAGAAATGTAAAGTCACAGAACTTACATGTACGATCCATGGACATGAACTGAGCGGGGCGGAATGTGGGTGGGAGGGGTGCAAGGTGGAGGGGGATAAAGGGGAAAAAAATGGGACAACTATTGTAGGAGACCAGTTTGTCTTGGCCTGGCAAATGTTACTCAGCTCTGTATGGAAAACCTACAGATGCGGAGTGGTGGGCAGGAGCCAGACCTTCAAATAGAGTTTTCCCGTGGGAATCAGGCCTAGAAAATGCATACAGATTGTTATGGCTTGCTCTTGCTAAAACTCCATCACCCTGGTCTAAAACAACAAATGCGTATTGTCTATCTTCAAGGTAATTTCCAAAGCCTGTATGAGTTCTCCTGAGGACAGAGCTAATGAGCTAATCGCCATTCCCCTTTGCATGTTATTTTCATTTCCTTGATTGTATCTAGAATGTAGACATAATATTCTATGTGATAGATAATAAATCTTTCTATGATGTTAGACCCAAGGAAAACAATAAAAGCCTGTCTAGGCAAGGGTCGAGGTACTCTCCTCTTGAGAGAGTGGCTGAGGCATCCATGGACACTCTCCCCTTGAGAGAGTAGTTGTGTTGTTCCCTTTTTGTCCATAGGATTGTTGTTCTGTGTGCACTGATTCTCATCATCAGCCACAACAGGCGGACTCTGCTGGACAGGGTCTGCAACAACTATAATAGTATAATCAATAAAATATGTTTTTAAAAAATAATTAAAAATTTTCTTAATATTAACAATATTTACACTGGCTGTTCATATTATGTTATATATAAAAGCAGAGCTATCAAAAGTAAAATTGGTAGAAAGGGATTTTAAAGCTTTCCTTTAACTGCAATCCCATAGTACCACCTACCCCTAGAGGGACATTAATAAACATACCTCAAACGTCTATAATTTTGCATAAATATAGGTGGTTTTTGCAGGAAACATGCACTACTCAAAATTAACTGTGAGCATATTATGTTGAACTTGATGGGTTATTTCTCCAGAATGTGCAAGAGTCACAAAGACATAACAAAAAAGAACATCCTAAGCTGACTTGGCTCGAATGCTACTTGCCTTCATTATTAACTTACCAAAATAAGAGCTGGTTCGTGCAGACCTTAAAGGTAAACAATTTTAAGTTACAGCCAAGATCCCAGGGATGCAGAATAAAACGATTCCATGCAATGGGTCCATTATGAAAGTTCATTTTAAGCCAGGTGTTCTGAAGCTGGAGAGGATTTTTTCCATAGATACCCTGTCATTCATGCCAGTGACCTTTTCAATCTTCTCTTTATTGATTCAAGTTAGTGTGCATTACTGTAGATCCAAGCAGAAGAAGGTGGTTAATTTTGTTAATTAGGAAAATAAAACTTATAGATGCACAAAAGCTGTGTGAAGTTTTTAATGATATAAGGGTGTAAAGACCCTGACCAGGTAGCTCAGTTGGTTACAGCATTGTACTGGTACACCAAAGTTGCAGGTTCAATCCTGGGTCAGGGCACATACAAGAATCAACCAATAGCCCTGGCTGGTGTGGCTCAGTGGATTGAGTGTCACACTGTGAACCAAAGGGTTGCTGGTTCGATTCCCAGTCAGGGCACATGCCTGGGTTGTGGGCCAGGTTCCCAGTTTGGGGCACACAAGAGGCAACCGACCACACATTGATGTTTCTCTCCCTCTCTTTCTCTCTCCCTTCCACTCTCTAAAAATAAATAAATAAAATCTTTTTTTTTTAAAAAGAATCAACCAATAAATGCATAAATCAGTGGAACAAGTCAAGGTTTCTTTCTGCCTCTAAAGTGAATTAGAAAAAACCGTGTCTAAAAAAGGGGGGGGTTGTAAAGGAGTTCTGAAACAAAAGTGTTTGAATCTATTATGGAACACACACTGTTAATAACAAGGCCTGGTTATGGGACTCCTACCGACCTTAAGACTTGGTTTATTGGCTACAGGGGAAATGAAAGAAAGAGGAAAACATGAGGACTCTTTAATTTCCGACTCCTGATTATTCAGCCTTATATTTAAACAGTTAACATAGAACTGATAGTATTGATCTCGCTCCCCAAACTGCACGTTGGAATTTCTGAAGAGCCTATTTTCCTTTGGACTGTCCAAATATGTGGATAAGAATGCAAGTTAATTTATAACCACAGGAAGCAGGACACATTGGGCAGAATTACTGAGGTAGACAACCTTGAATGAGTGGAGTGTTTTGTAAAAACTTAGCAAAAAGGACCTTCACGTTTAAGGACTTTTTCAACTCTGACATTCCACTTTTCCATAATCTTTATTCTTTCTTTCAAAAGATGAAAACTCACTGGCACAAACCTTTTCAGAAAGAAAGTGGGTGGAGGTGGTGAGGCATTTACCTTTCTAGGTGGCAGGGTGCCTGGGAAGTCCCACCCACTCTCACTTTTCCAACCAACCTGGTCTAGTGTTGACGGGAGACACCTAGTTCTTCTTACTGACGCATGTAAAGAATTACAGATCAGCAACTCTGTTAGAGTGCATTCAGTTTATTAGTGACCCTTTCCCATGGAAGAGACTGGGCCTAGGTAGGGTGGGGTGTAGCGGGGGGGGGGGGGGGGCTCAAAGGGAGAGGTTCAGAGCAAAGCAAAAGTATGAGCGGCTATGGCCCAGGTGGTAAGGCCCAGGGTGGTCTAGAGCCAAGGGCACCCAGAGAGCGGGTCCTTTGATCTGAGGACTTACCTAGTTGGCGGGATGGGGTGAACAAGTCACACACTGATTGACAGGTAAAGGTGATGCCAGATTTCCAGGCAGGGGGAGGGGGACTACATGCCTACCTAAATTGAGGTAAGTGTCGGGTGGTCTGTTGGCACGAATCCTTATCTTGCTCCAGACTCCATTTGTTCATCGTGTTGTAAAACAGATACAGGACAGGAGGCAGTTAATGAAAGCTGCGGCGATTACCCAAAGTTATTTATGGGCTCTCCTCTGGGCCCTGCGGACCCTCTCTGGCATTTCAGGCTCTGGGATGAAAGCACAGTTTCAAGGCTTTCTTTCTCAGACAGTGGCAATGCTACTTAGAATTTCAAGGACTTCCCTCCTTCCTTGCCAAGATAGTTTCTTAGGATGTTGTAACACCCGGCTTTACTATGGGACCAGGCTCAGGACTGCTGAGTCCTGGGTGAGATGACTCCCTCCTCCTCCCTGCCTAGGTTTACTATTCATTCAACCTAAGTGATAAAACGTGTTCCCTGGCAACCAGGATGCTTGCCGCCTGCCAGTAACAGCCGCCCAGTCTCAGTTTTTCCTATGCTGTCTCCTGTCTGCTGAGACCCGGGCAGGTTCTGCTCCCTGGGCTGAGGCCAGGGCTGCAGATCCCGCCCTGGGCCCCTTTGGCTCCGGGCCTTCGCTTCCTGCAGCCTGAGCGCTGGGGTCTCCACGCCCCTGGCCGCAGTGCCCCGGGCCGTCGAGACCTCGTCGGCTGCACCCCCCAAAGTCGCCTGTGACACCGCCCCCCCAGCGCCGCCCTGGGACTCCGGCCAAGCCTCCGCCTGCTAACGCCGCACCGCCAGCGTCCACCTGACCACCGTCTAGGGGGACAGCGTGTGTGGGCAGAGAAGGAAGAGTAAAAAGGAAACGCCAGCTCCACGCCCGGGCCCCGCGCCGCCGAGCGCTCCACTGCAGCAGGGATGCCTGCCGCCCATTCCAGGGGTGTCTGCAAACAGTCCTTCTGGTGGCGTGGAGCGACGACACCACGACTGCCTGACGACACACTCTCCTCACTAGATCAACCCTCCGGGGCCGCCCAGCAACCGTGGTCCTTCCACTGCCTTTTTCCCCGGGGCAACGTAGAAAGGACGACATGGTCCCGCGCCCACCACTCCGTGTCTGAGAACAGCTCCCGCGGTGAGAGAAGGTGCTGTTAGCGCGCATGCTCCCCTCTGGGGGGTCTCCCGGCAAGTTGTGAACCCAGTTGCTCAACAAGGCCCGCCTCGCGCATGCGTTTATACCGCACTGGGTTCTTTTCCAGCAAGAGCAAGAGGCCCGAGGAACCGGAAGTTGCCCGGCTTTATCAGCTCCCCTCCGCCCAGGCAGAAGCTCAAGATCCGGGAGAAAGGTTCCGGGGCTGTCCTGGCCTGGAGGTGGCCCAATGGAGACCGAGGCTGAGGATGGGTTGTGGACCCGCCGCCCCTCGCTGGCCTCTTCCTGGGATGCCACAGGCGGGGGCCTGGACCAGAGCCTCCTTGTCACCGGAGCTGGTGTCGGAGCGCAGGAATTGGAGTGGGATGAGCTGCTGGCGCTGCCTGCCCCAGGGTGCGCCTGGCCTGCGGGGACGGGCTGGCTGCCTGGTGACAGCCACGCTCCTGGGGGCGTGGTGAGGGGAGGCGGGGGCCTTGAGTGGAGAGAGTCTGGGCCCGGGATCCGGAGCGAATGTGGTGAAGGGTCAGTGCAGGAAGCCAGGGCCTGGGTGGGTGACGGACAGGGCCTGGGTGGCTGGAGGGCCGGGGCCACTGCAGGGCGTGAGTGTTAGGCGCAGGGGCTTCTGGGCGGGTCACCTGCAAAAGGCATTTCACACAAACGCGGGTAAATCCGTCAGGTCAGCCCTTGAGTGCACTTGTCACAACTGGAATCATCCTCTATCCCCCAAATAAACAGAAAACTCCTGTCCACCTCCTGGCAACCAAAAGAGACGTGAAAAAGTGTCAGCAGTTGAGAATCGCCATTCTCTTAATTTTTGCAACAGATACACTCTGTCTTTTATCGTATTGTGCTTCCCACTATTCTGCACAGAACTGGTGTCTGGTGAGCTTTAAATTAAATGAGAAGCAATAACGGGAGATTGAGTACGATGTTGGATCAAGGGAAAACGTAGGAGAAAGCCCTGATGTCTGAAGTATCCATTTCTTGATGGATTTGTATTGAGCATTTGTTGGGGGCTTGGGACGGTGCGCGAATCCCAAAGGCAAATGGCAGTGAATACAAGAAATACGGCTTAGTAAGAGGGTTAGTAACCGTGTTCGGAGAACTATACTGTATAATGTTCTTATGTTCTTTTCAGCCAGGATCCGGTGATTTTGGAAAGGAGCCGGAACAGCCCAGAGGAAACCCCCTGCTTCCTTTACCTGCGCTGTGACCCTGAGGAAGGTGAAGAAGTGGTTTCTGTTGGCATTTTAAGTTCAGCGAGAAATATGGAGGTGTATGTAGGAGAGGAGTACAGTGGAACCAGTCGGGGCAAGACTGTTCGTGATGTTCTGGAGAAGAGGTTTGTGGCTTCTGCGTGTGTGCGTGTTCTTCTGAAGTAGTGTGCTTCTTTTCCTCCACTTTGCAGGATGCGTTGATTCTCTGACATTGGTGCCAGGCATTAGGGGGAGAAGATAAAACACACCAGCAGGAATAGAACATTAGACCTTTAGGGCTTTTTGAGATGGTCTAGATCAGACTAGTTGTTTTTAGAAGTGTGGAAATGAGAGCTAGTTTAGGGAAGATAAGTGGGCGGAAGGTCAGATCTCCTCAGTGGAAGAGTTTTCTTCTCTGTGTCCTTTAACTAACAGGGGTGTTTTCCAACGGTTAATTTGTCTGTGAGCTTGGGACTTTGAACATATGTTCTTACAAGGACATCCTCTAAATGTAGTGCATGAGCCCTGGCTGGTGTAGCTCAGTGGATTGATTGCTGGCCTGTGAACGGAAAGGTCACTGGTTTGATTCCCAGTCAGGGTATATTGCTGGTTTTCTGCCCAGGTGCCCAGTAGGGGGTGCTTGAGAGGCAACTGATTGATGTCTCACACATGGTTGTTTCTCTCCATCTCTCTTCCTTCCCCTCGCTCTAAAAATAAACAAAAAATAAAAGTAATAGGTGAGCCCTATACTGTGCCATGTTAGCAGGTTTAACCCTTTATTACGTTTTGATTTTTTCCTGACTTCTTACAGATGTTCTGCCCTAATATTTCTTTTATAGAACTTAAATATGAACTGTGTTATATACCATATATGTGGGAAATAGTAGATATGTTAATAGAGCTTTAAAACATGCTCTGTGCCACATGATTACACATTTGTTAATCAAATTTGAATCTTAAATATTGCTAGTAAGTGGCAGGTATGGTCTGTGTGTCCAGTGCAGTTCAGTAGGGGCTACAGCCCTTCGTGCCTCACGAGCAAAACTGAATCGTCCAAAAAGGATTGTCCTGGAAAACTTTGTTTTTAAATGTGACTATTAAATGTGATAATGTGTGAAAGTAAAAAAAGGGTCATTTTTTTTTATTTTTAGTGAACATGAAAAGATTAGCATGTACAAAAAATATCTAAAATTGGAGTCCTCCACATATGCTTGTAAAATAAAGGTGAGTCATTATTGCATGTTAACTAAATTGGAAGCTACAGTTGTGCTCTGTGTATTTATTTTCTGTTGGTTAGTAATGCAATTAGTCTACCTTAGTCCCTGGTTTTAGTTCAGAAATACTTAGTAAACAAGAAAAAACAATTATATTCTAAAAATTTTTTTCAAGATTCTCCTTTCGAAATATGACCATGTATTGGCTGTGGCAATGTCTTGTGATGTACTGTTGCTCATACAGTACCATGGTGCTCATAAGCCTTGGAAAACTGTTTAAAAACCTTTCTTATTTGTATATAAAATGTAGGCGCCAAGAAAACCACAGCAATTTCAGGCCCAAAATACTGAGGAAAAAACACAGTTGGAGAAGTTTCAGACAAGGGAAACTCAAAGTTCAAGAGATTCGGACTGGTGTCTTCAACATTAAAAATATAGTTAAATGAACTTTAATGACGTCATCGGTCTCAGGAAAGGGGCCTGAAAACCCTGAGCCCTGACTATGAAATGCGCTCTGTTGCTGATGAACAGAATCGCCTACAGCGAGTTTTTCAGTTCTTTGGACCAACCTAATTGGTAACACTAGGGAGCTGAGGGAAAGAAACCCTAGATTATTTTTATCTGTGAGGTTCTCTGCTTATTATTACTTATAGAGGATCATAGACTGATTATTCTAAAATGTTTTAGAGGTATATACCTATTAATAGCTTCTAAAGTCATTTAAATAAAGTGACTCATTCATTCAAAAATATTTGAATGCCTGTTGATGCCAGATACCATATTGGGCACTTAGGAATGAGCAGTGATAAAACAAATTGGAATAAAGCCCTCATGTAAATATGATAGTGGGCAAGACATAATAGATTCAGTATACAAAGTATGTGTTATATTTGATAGTGAGAAAGTCTTGGAGGTTAAAAAAAGCAGAAAAGGTCCTGACTTGTAGGGCTTAGTGAGTTGGGCACTGACCTGTGAACTGAAAGGTCAGCAGTTCAGCTCCCAGTCAGGACACATGCCTGGGTTGTGGGCCCAGTCCCCAGGTTGGGGGAGTGTGAGAGGCAACTAACCAATTGATGCTGCTCTTGCCCATTGATGTTTCTCTCCCTCTCTTTCTTCTTCTCTTCCCCTCTCTCTAAAAGTAAAAGTAACTTTTTTAAAGAAAAGGGATAATGTGGAAGTTGGAATGTGGTATGGAAGTGTAGAGACCTGAGAGGTGTCTACTCAATTGTTGATGACAGTCACATTTTTGGTGCCACTGTTTTTAGATTGTGGATCTGTGTTCACCTGTGTCTTTGTGTGATATGTGGGTTTGCGTGTCTCTGAAGGTGAGTGTTTTTTGTACCTGTCCTGTGGAAGTACATGGGAGTGCAAAGAGTCATTTCTTTTAGGGAAACCTTTGGTTCATATGAAGATTTCTTCTGCAGGGATAGTATGGTAATGTTAAAAATGACAGTGATACACATTTTTGAGCATCTACTCAGTGGTAGATCCTGGGAATTTTAATATTGGTCATCATAACAACCATATGAAATCATTTTGCTCCTGGCTCAAGTTTTGGCATTTGCCCTGCACACACGCACACGCACAGGCAGAGAAGCGGGGTCCTCACCGAACTTAGGTCTGATTCTAAACCCCGTTCCCTTTCCACTCAGCTACGTTGTTGCCCTGTACCACACATGAACTGCTTTTTGGTTTAAAGCAGGGGCCAAACGAGGCAGCACACAGCCCTGGACCACCTGCTGGGGAAGAAACCAGCAAACTGGGGTCAGAGCCCAACCTTCCCTAACTGGGTGTCCTTCACTGAGTCAGAATGTCACTTGAACTCGTGACATTCCTTTGCTGTTCTAAATTCTAAAACACTGACCTTCACATTTAGTATTTCAGCAAATACTGCATGGGCTCTGGACAGACGAGTTTAAATTGTTTTGTAGAAAGTTGTAGTATATGAAGCTGTGAGGTTGGTGTGGTTTATTTTTAATTCCTTATCTAAGCATGTGAAATGGTATTTTACATGTAATCTTTTAGTTTGAAAAGGATTTGTTTATTTACATAATTCTTTGGGGTATTTTTTCAGACAATGACTATTTTAGCAAAAAGTAAGTAAATTTTTGGATCCTTGACTGCTTCACTGTTACTCAGGTAATAACAAGAAGTGACCATAAATGATGATTGTTTTTAATGTCATTATTTATTTCCCTGGAACCTTTTTGTTTTACGATAGTTGCTCTCTTTTGGTGAAAAGCAGCGTGTGTTCGTCAGCAAAGTCGTGGTGCACGTGCGACCGGCCTCAGCACGTCCTTCCGCACGCTCTCCCGTGGTGGCCGCAGGGGTGGACCTGCAGCGGGTCCAGACCATCGTGCGCTCCATGGGGTCCACACTGTCGCCTGGGGCTCAGCAGCTGATGAGCATGGTCAGCTTCCAGCAGCAGGTGAGCGGGAGGGGAATTTTTTTCTGGACACCAAAACTTTTCAAAATTAATAGCTTTTTATAATATGTACAGACTTAAATTTTTCTTTGAGCTTTTATTGTTGATTTGCCTATTATCTGTTTACTTTAGTAAAAATTGCATTTTGTAGACCTACTGTCTCACAAAATGTTTTTGTTACAGATCTTCACAATTTTTCATAAATTTAGTCACTTGCCCTTTCAGCCAGTACCTGCTACCCCCTTCTCAGTGACTGAGGCACGTTCTGAGCACTTGACAAGGTTTAAAGATCAGTTTTCTATATCGTGTCTTTAAGGATCTTTATAGTTTTATTTTTGTAGGCCTTTAAAGGAGAAGGCTTGGATCAGGCAAGTAAACTTGGAGGGATACAGTTTCACAGACAGAAAATGGTATGCGTTAAATCTTCAATATTAAAGGGAACAGGACATAGCTGGGAAGTGGTTATACGTTCGTGTGTGTGGAGCCAAGAAGTGACAGGAAGTTTGCAGTAGATCAGGGCTCAGTCATAGAGGGCTTTGGGCGCTGATTTTTAAGTCTGGAGGGGTTTTCGCACTGCATTTCAAAGACGTGCTACTCCACGCTGTGTGCAGGGTGAACCAGAGGAAAGGTGATGCTGTCCAGGGTGAGACGACAAGAAGGAGGGCAGCTGCCCGTTACTCCCTCGTCCCCGCGAGGGTTCGTGAGGGTCAGATGATGGACACAGCAGCCTGGTGCCGGGCTGTGAGCTGCCAGCATGATGGCACTGGGAGGGCTTGACAGCTAACTAACTGGGTGTTGGGATTGTGGGTGAGAAGGAGAGGGAGCCGTGAAATTGATGTTGTTAGAGGATGACACCAGTAAGACACATGGAGCCCACAAGAGGAGACTGCCTGGGAAAGAAGGCTTTGAATGTTGGAATTCTGAACATTAGAGTGAATAAAACATGGGTGGGGGATGTTGTGAGCATCAGGAACACAGGTTGGGGGTGGCGGAGTGGAAGGGAGGGTTTGGGAGGTGTCCCCTAGCAGAGGACAGGGACACCTAATGTTGCAGAGTAATGATAGCGTACCTCCTGTGGTTGTGTTGAGGGTCCAATGAAAGAATGCGCATTGCCTGATTCTAAATTACTCCCAAAGGTGGCTGTCATCGTTATTAACAGTGACATTTACTTATTTCCTTGGCTTAGAATTGCGTTTCCATCGGAGAGCAGCTCCAGTCGGTTTTGGGAAAGACTGTGCTCACTCGAGTGATGGGCCTGCAGGCGTCGTCCCCGTCGGCAGTCTGGGACAGGTCACCCTCCACACCTTGTCCTTTCAGAGCTGGGCTGAGTCCTGGCCACGTGACTGGCGACTCAGAAGCTCACACTGACAGAAGGACCCAGGCACCCGCTGGAGGGAACAGGACAAACCTCGGAGAGTGTCCAGTCATGCCACCAAACTGTTCTCTTCCTGGCGGTGACCTTACAAACGCGGTGTCTTCTTTCCTACCGAAGAAAGCAAGTGACCGCTCAGGTACACCGGACTCCGAGCTGCTGCCTCTTCTGCAGAATCTGTGCGGTCAAGTTAACGGGCTCCGTGTGGGCCATAAGGCGGGGCGGCCGGGCACCATCGCCAAGCCCAGTGACGGCATCACTGGTGTGGGGTGAGTATTTTTTAAAAATGTGGTTTAGATTTGGTAGGTGGGAGGATCAGCTAGTGATAAGCATATTTGTTTCAATAAATGCATGCTGAAAATGTTTCCAGAGATAATTTTAGGAACTTGTACATTTTACCACTAATACACTTATGGGAAATAAGTATTCTACAAAGTACACCGGAGTGCTGTGGAAAAAGTGCCTTAAGCTGGAGGAGTTGAGCACTGCTCAGGCATTGTGTGGGCAGCACTGTGGGCACCAAACGAACCCCCCGTAACAGGTTGTTTTCTGTGTATCATGTTTAACCTAAGCCAGGTTTGGGGCCATCGAAACATTTTTAACCTTACAATCATTTATAATATACGAGCTCTTATCCCCTGATCTCATACTTCCAGTTTTTGGCAGTCCTGGTTGGATTGAAGGATGACTAAGTATTTAGTATGTTCTCTATTCTTTATATAGATGTAATGTGCCAAAGTGTTGCTCTAGCCTGGAAGTGGGCACTCCAGCCGCAGTCCTGGCTTAACTATTTTGTCTTACTGTTTAAATCTTTTGGCTTAGACTTTTTTCACATGTGAGACGAGGTAGTTGTATTGGTTGAAATTTTTGTAAATTCTTCAATAGCATTGAAATTTGAGGTGTTATTAAAAAATGTGGCTCATATTCAGGAAGGACATAGAAGGGCAACATTTTCCTTATTGATAGTCTGCCTCAGCGTTAACTAGTTGGCATGTGTAGGGCAAAGATAAAATCTCAAGAAACAAACTAATCATATTTGAAGAGCGCTTCTGGGTCCAGCTGTGATGGAATGCCCTCCTCACTCAAAGTCCCTCCCTTTTACACATGAAATTTCCCTGCACGTCATGCGCGAACATTCAGAGACCAGAAGTGGGGACGGAAGTCTACCTGCTTAGGGCCTGAGTGTAGGGTGTTGTCACCTCAGTCTTGGTTTTGGGGCAGTTTCTTTTGTCCCAGATGGGTGTTGCATCTGGCAGGCATATTTTGTGTCCGTTTATATGATCGTATGAATCTTCCTCTATAGTTTGTTGATATGGGGGATCACATTAATTTTTACCAACGGAACCGGCCTTGCACACCTAGGAGAAGCCTCACTCGGTCAGAATTATATGGGGTAGAATTCTTTTTTACACATGCTGGATTTGATTTGTTAATGTTTTGTTGAGTATTCTTGCATCTAAGTCAGGAGAGATATTGGTCTGCATGTGTCTTTATACTGGCTTTGTCTGGCTTTGTGTCAGGGTGACACCAGCCTCGTAAAATGGGTTCTGTGTTTTAGAAGAGATTGTGTAGGATTCTCCAAAGAAACCAGTGGGCCTGGGTCTTTTTTCCTGGGAAACTTTTAAGTTACAAATTTCATTTCTAATATAGTAAAATTGTCTGTTCACTCTGTTAATATAGAGGCTTAATTAACATAATGCATAGTAAAATCCTACCACAGTTTTTTGTAAACATAGACAAGGTTATTTTTTAAATTGTAAGGAAAGGCAAAGGAGGTCAAACAGCTAAATCAGCTTTGAAAAGATGATAAAACAGGAGGAGACACTCTTCCCAGTGTCAAGTCTGATGCAGTGAGAACACTCATGACCGAGGAGCACTGCTGGAGGGTAGACGCACAGACCCTGACACACAACGGAGGGCCCAGAAAGAGATGCACAGACCACGCTAGACCGACTCTAAGGAGCAACAGCGATTCAACGAGGGGAGAACAGTGCGTTTCACACACGGTGCTGGAGCAGCTGGAGATCCTGTGGGCAGGAATGAGCCCTGATCTAAACCTCATGCCGTGTGCAAAGCTTAACTCAAAAGGGATGATGGACCTAAATGTAAAACATAAAGCTGTATATTGGCTGCTTGTTGTATAGTTTGCTTGTTTTTGTTACAATATTAGAGATAATTGTTACATTATTTTTAAATTTATCTTTAGAATGGGTGAGCAGCCTGTTTGTGCCTACTTGGAAAAGATTCTTTCTAAAAATATGGACCTGATGGAAAAGAAACTCATGGACCACATCGACCAGCGGATCCGCGCCCTCCAGGAGCACGTGGATGAGAAGATCGCTTCGCTGGTGGACTTGCTGCAGAATCCCCGCTCCCCACCCACCTCCCCACCCACCACTGGGACGCCTCTGCAGCACTGCGACTCCGACTCCGGGGAAGGGCTTTCAAATGGAGAAAGATGAGTGCTCCCCATGCACAGCGGACTGCAGACTTTTACCACATATTTATTACAGAGCGCAACCCAAACAGCTCAGAGCAAGTATCTGATGTCATCTCAGGTTTATCATCTTACTTCTGTAAGTGACCTGGAGGCTCATTTGCACTGAACTTGTTGTTGTAAATCTGGTACTGTGCACTACGAGTGAACCTGATTGGGCCGTAAGTTATTTTGTTTGCAATATTGTTTATTTTTTATAAGAAATTTACATATAGGTCTGTGTTTAAATGTTTAAAATTCTAAGGATCTCTAGTTACAGTCAGTGAATATTATGTGTATTTGAAATACTGTTTTAATTTATACAAAGACCTTATGTCTTAGGGATAGGGAAAAAAGTGCTTAGAGTATTTGACTGCTTTTTCTTTCTTTTTTTAATTGATTATCCTTGGAAAACCTGGTACTTAAGACTTACAACCTTTAATTTCACATCACCAAATTACGTTGTATTATTGTTTATTTCAATAAAAAGTTAACTGTGTTGCTTGGCATTTATAAAGTTAGTTTCCATTTGGGTCATTCATTTTATGTTATCATATTGTGGCTATAGCTAGGACATGAAAACTCAAAACTGACCTGTTCTTTTTTAGAAAAATTACTTCCGATTTAGTGATTGATACAAAACAACAGAAGTTACATTGTCTTAGCTCAACCCAGAAAGCGTCAGGAGCTCTCCTTTCCTGAGCCACTGCAGGCGCTCCCTCCCAGAGCCCGGTCCTAGGACCCTGCAGTGCCGCCTGCTGTGGCTCCGCACCAAAGGATAGAGGCTCGAGACTCGGGGCTGGTGGCTCTCACTGGCGCGCTTAATTTTCAGAAACTGTAACTATTGCCTGGGTGCCGAAGGGTGATGTATTTGCCCCTAAAATAAAAATGCATCCACCCTGGAGACTATTTTGTCTGTGAAATGGGGAATATCATGTTCTCCTCTATGAAGTGTATACACTTTTGAACATGATGCCCCTAGCACAGGCCTGGTGTATAGATGCCCCGTAAATGTTCAACTTTCGTGTCCCTCATTCTACTCTCCTGTCGTCTACCTTCCTAAACTGTAGAATGACACTTGTGTTTCCTCATATCATCACTATTTCCATAAATTTGGAAGTTCCTCTTCTCTGGCCTATCTTAGGTGCTAAGGAAGTCACATTCAAAGTCAATCAACCCTGTGCCACTTACCGATGGAATATGGTCTGAGAAAGGCATCCCGTGGCGATCTGGCCACGTGCAAACACCACAGCGCACTCACACAGACTGAGATGGGCCAGCCCGCTGCAGGCCTAGACTGTGTGGTCCACCTTATGGCCCCCAGGCTACGGGCCTGTACAGTGCATTCCTGTACAGACAACACGAGGTCAGATCGAGCACAGGTACCATGACGCAGTCAGCAGAGGCAGTGAACACGAGATACGTAACACGGCGACTGCTTTACAGCACACCTCCTTGAGTGGAATGGGTGCACTCCAAAACGGGTGTCAAACTCACTTTCACCGGGGGCCATATCAGCCTTGCAGTTGCCTTCAAAGGGCCGAATGTAATCTTAGGATTTTATAAATGTAACTACTCCTTAACTAGGGGCAAGGAGCCTGGCAGTGCCGCTGGGTAGAAACTAGGTGCCGGGCCAGATTCAGCCCACGAGCCCTGTGTTTGCCATAATGATAAAAAATATAGTATAGTAAATACATGAACCGTAAGTCACTGATGATCATGATCAAGTATGCTGTACATAATTATATGTGCTATACTTTTATTCAACTGGCAAAGCAGTTTGTTCACACCAACATCACCACCAACGTAGATAAATCAGACATTATGAAGTGAAGTCACTAGGTGAGAGGAGTTTTTTGCTCCATTTTATAGACCGCTGTCATATACATGGGCCGTCACTGACCAAACAACGTTACTATGTGGTACGTGACTTCAGTGAGCTGTGGTCCTGGGGCCTGCTTCAGGGACCAGCAGCATCAGGGAACTTATGTGGAATGCCAGTTCTCAGGCCCCACCTCTGATGTATGAATAGGAAACTCTGGGGGTGAGGCCAGATACATAATTAGAAGTTGACAAATCTTTTCATTTGACACTCAAAAAATGGCGTATGCTACTTCCTTGTCGCCCCCATGGTTATAGATGAGAAATCCACTGTCATTTGAATTGGTTTTCCCTTATAGGTGATGTGCTGTTTCTTTCTGGCTGCTTTCAAGTTTCTTTCTTTGTCTTTAATTTTCAGAAGTTTGATTATTATCATGTGTCTTGCCTTGGACTTTCTTGGTTTTGCACTGCTTGGGGCTTTCTCCATTTTTTGAATGTCAGTTTGTGTCTTTAACATATCTGGTAAGTTTTAGATTTTTTTTTTGTTTTTATCTCCCATTTCTTCAAAAACTCGTTCAGCTCCACTTTCTTTCTCCTCTTCTTCCAAGGCTGATCTTTTATTGTAGTTCCACAGCCCCCTAAAACTTTCACTTTTGTTTCGGTTGGGTAAATTCTTTCATTCTGTCCTCAAGTTTGTTGACTCAATCCTGTCATCTCCCCCTGCTCTTGGGCCCATCCCGTGAAGGTTTTTGTTTTTGTTTAGTTTCTCTTGATGTACTTTTTACTTCTATAATTCCCATTTGATTCTTTTGTTATAACTTCCATTTCTGCGGGTATTTCTATTTTTTTTTTTTTTTAGAACATTTGTTACTGATTGTTGAAGACGTTTGATGGCTGCTTTAAATCCTTTTGGGTGTTTCCAACATTTAACTTATCTTGCTGCTGGCCTCTTTTCTCATGCAGCTCTTCTCTGGTTTTTGGTCTGACTGGTGACTTCCATTGGATCCTGGATAATTTGGCTGTTATATTAGGAGACTCTGGGTCCTATTTAAATCTTTGATTTCATCACAAAGTCACCTACTTAGGTTTAATATGCAGGACTTGGCCCACTTTTGTGGAATGAGGTTCTAAGAGCCATCTAATGTTCCGCGGCTTCACGGTGTTGTGTAAATCTGCTTAGTTTCTCTGGTGCCACGGGGTCCCAGGTCCCTGACAGAGCTGCCTGAAGGACAGAGGGGCATTCTCCAGTCTGGAGCCACCTGGTACCATGTGGGCAGGAGAAGAGGATGCCTGGCCTATGGGGACAAAGATGGTTGTTATAGTGGGATCCCCTCTGAGCTGCCAACTGCCCACCGCACTGTCTCTCCATGGAGGAGAGGACTCTGGAAACCAGAAAGCAAGCCCAGCACCTCCCCCTGGCCACTCATTGTCAGCAGGGCTCCCACACTGTCCACCTGGCACCTGCCCAGTCTCATCAGCAGGACTCACGTTAAACCCAAGGGGGACATACCCACCCGAGCCGCCACCTTCTGTTGCTAGGGACAGAGTTGGGACCCACCATGCCCGGGCCAGCTCCTTCCATCCTGGTGCTGCGTTGCTCATCTAGGCCCGGGGGCCCTAACCAGCTGGCTTCCCTCTCACCAGCTTTCAGAGTTCCCTTTTGGTTGACCTTTGCTGTTTTTTTTTTTTTCCAGGGATCACAGACATATTTCACTGGGAGGAGCAGAGAGAAATGCATCTAAGCCACCTTTTGTGCACCTGGAGTCTCCTCATGTAATTACTAGGTTGGTTGGGTATGAGTATCTTAAATCAGTCACACTTGACCAGAACGAGTATCCTATACCACAGCAGTCCCCAACCTTTTTGGCACCAGGGACTGGTTTCGTGGAAGGCAATTTTTCCATGGACGGGTGGGGTCGGGGTTAGTGTTGGGACGACTCAAGTGCATTACATTCCAGCTCACCTCCTGCTGGGCAGCCTGGTTCCTAACAGGCCCAGACCAGCCCTGGTCCATGGTCTGGAGGTTGAGGACCACTGCTGTACAACGTTCATATCTGTAACCCTTTCATCTTCATTATTGTGAAAATTAATAAAGGAAACCAACTGAAACTCAAGTCAGGAAGACCTGGGGAAGGGGCTGTCATGCTCCACCACTCTTCTTCTATTACAGGAAGACATCAATCACACACCCCAACAGGAAGAGACATTCCTTTAACTTCCGGACAGGAAGTGCAGCTACGTTACTACTCCAGGAGGAAAAAGGAAGATCTTCCTCTTGCCCAGCAACAAGCCCAACCAGTGGAAACACTGCATCTCAGCCAATGAGGAGATGTGCTCACCCAACTCTTCCTTTCATCTAATGAACTTGCAGTTTTTTCTTGATGATGACTTCCTTGTCCCACCCTTCTTTCTATAAAAGCCTTCCATCTTTTTTTCTTCTAAATTTAGTTTTCAATTATAATTGACATACGATATCATGTTAGCTTCAGGTGTACAGCATAGTGATTAGGTATTTGTAAAGCTTACCAAGTGATCACCCCAGCAAGGCTAGTACCCATCTGGATCATACATAGCTATGTACTGACTATATTCCCTATGCTGTACTTTATATCCCTATGACTATTTTTACAACTGGTAATTTGTACTTCTTAACCCCTTTCGTCTTTTTCATCCATCCTGGTCCCATCTGGAAACCATCGGTTTGTTCTCTGTATACACGAGTTTGTTTTGTTTTTTTGGATTTCACATAGAAGTAAAATTGTATGGTATTTCTTTTTCTCTGACTTATTTCCCTTAGCATAAAACCCCCTGGGTCCAACCACAGTGTTGCAAATGGCAGAATTTCATTCTTTTTTTTATCAGAAACCATCTTAGGCCCTGCATGGTGTGGCTCAGTGGATTGAATGCCAGCCTGTAAACCGAAAGGTCGCTGGTTCGATTCCTAGTTGGGGCACGTGCCTGGGTTGCAGGCCGGTCCCCAGTAGGGGTGTGTGAGAAGCTTTGTAAGTATAAGAGCCTATTTAGCCTCCCCACATTTCTGTTTTTAATTTTAAAATTGTAATCTTAAACCTGCTTTTGATTAGTAGTCCAATTTTGAAAAGGAGAGGGAAATAAGACTGAAAAGATAAAGACTTCTGAGTGAAGTGACTCAAAACAGGACCCATGTCAGGGCGGCTAATGTCCGAGTGCAAATGGAACAGAATTCGGAACTCTGTGGAACAGAGCCGGTGCGCAGGGCATTGATGTCACACAGCCCGTGGTGTCGAGGGTGGGGCTGGACGGTGGCTGTGCTTCCGAAGGGAGCTCTTCAACCTCGGACCGGACTCCTCCTAACTGGGGTGATGAGATCCCTCTCTCTCAAATGACAGGTTCGATCAAATACCCTGTTCCCTAAAGATTAAAAAAATTTATAGTTGGCCTTCATCCAGAGCTGGATGGTTTGACTGTAGTAAGTATGCTTGACAGTCATATTGTTCATTCTTCTTCTGTGGCTCATGGTTCTCGTTACAGAGAGTTAATTGGGTAAATGGCTTATTCCAAACTAATCGGACTTCCTGGGAAGATACAGCAAGAAAAATGGCAGGAAGGCCTGTGGTTTCCTGGGGACAGAATGAGAGATGGGGGCTCCGATGCTCTCCCTAAACCATGAGATGGATGACAATTGTCATGAGAGAATTAGAAACCTTTTTTCCTTAAAACACATCACTTACAAAATGGGTTTGCTTATTCTCAGTGTTGTACAGTGTGGCATTTTGGGAAAGAGTTATTTCCTCGGTTGTGCTCTTAAAATATTGTTAACTCAGATGAACAGCAAGGGGTTGATCCCGACTCTATCAGTGAATGCATTTCATGAGACCCAGGAATTTGGTAAAAAAGCCATGTGCTCAAGTGCAGGCCTGTTTTTTACTCACAGATGCACGTTACTGCCTGTGAAAGACAAAAGATTCTTCCCAATTTCTCTGCGGAGTTACTTCTGTGTGACTGTGCATTTCAGTCGCTTGTCATCCACAGATCAACCCTTGACCCTCGCTGGGTCAGCTTGGGCCCGGAGCCCTTCCTGGCGGGCCCCTCCGTGGTTCGCACGCAGGAGGTGCTGTGGTCTGGGGTTCATTCTCTCTCCCGTGGAGGAAGCGCGTTGAGTTGCTGCATGGCCCTGTGGGGAGGGGAGCCCTATTCACTGCCCACCTGCACTTCCTTCCCAGGTGCTACACGGGAAGATGTTCGACATCAGGATTATGACTGCCGTTGGTGTCGCCTTACTGGTCGCCATATTTGTCCTCATGTCCTATGTCACCAGTCTTCTGTGCAAACTGATCGATGTATTGAAGTGAGTGAGTGGGTGGGAGGGAGTGAATGAGACCCCTCCCATGGGACACCTGGGGCTCTCTGCTGGGGCAGGGCCACTCCTTGCCCTGGGGCCACACCCTGACTGGGGTCAGAGGCAGAGGGCAGGTCTGAACAGGCAAAGGCAGGTGAGTACAGGACCTTGGCTTCTTCCCTTCCTGGCCTGGGTTTGTGGGCTCACAGGGGAGAGTTCTCAGCCTGGCGGGCAGGTGGCTCTGTGTGTCACTGCTCCCTGCTGTCCCCTGACCTCCTGGAGTGCACCCTCAGCTGTTGGACTCACCCCAGGGGCGGGCCCTCCCTGCGCCCCGGGCACTGCAGACTGAAGACTGCGGGCAGGCCGAGTCCCTGAGTCTCTGCCTCCCGTACACTCAGAGGGCAGGCTGAGCTGGTCTCCCCTTGACTGAGTTGGGGCTCTCACCGTGTTCACTCACTCATTGCCCATGGCCTTGGGGACGGTGAAGTGGGCCTGTAAGACTGTGGGGAAGCTGAGCTGTGTGAAGATCCTGGGGGACCTTGAAAAGGAGTGTAGATCAGACAGGTAATTGAATTCTGGGGAGAGGGCCCTTCAAATATGGAAGGATTCGTTGTCAGAAGAAGTGATGTTCCCATTCTAGGGAAGGTAAGCCTGTCACCTGTGAGCTAGAAGGTACATTCCAGAACCTGGGGAACAGCTGACTCTGGCACCTTCCCCATCATGCTCTGCACTTAGCGGGCCCGCAGTTACCAGCTGGGTGGCCCACAGTTGCAATCCACTCTCCCTTAGTTGCTATAATCGGATTTTACATTTCTAGCCATCTAAGGAGGGGACTAAATCAGGTAAGAACTTGGGACAGGGGCAGAGAGCGTTCATCTCAGGCCGGTGTCACATGTTTGGCTGCTCCAGTCCTGAAGTTCTCAGACACCCTTGACTTTGTAAGAAATGGACTAAGCAGAAATTTCTAATCCCATGTGTGTGTCTGTCTTTTCTTAAGGGCTCCAAAGCTACCTGTTTGTTTGGCCTTAAAAAGTAATCCATTCATGGTCACTAGGGACAAGATCGCTGTGTCCTCATCTGTAACCGCTGGGTCCTATCTCAACTCCCAGTGCTGTGATGAATGTAAGTTGCCGGCCGACTTTGATCCCCTGCCACCATGCTTCTGCGATGCAAATGAGGGTCTCTGACTTGGTGGGCACAAATATCCAAAGAGCAATATTTCCTCCTTAGTAGACTTTTATTATTCAAGTCAAGTTTTATCCACTCTACAATGTACTGTATAACATTCATGTACTTTGGAATAAATGCGGTATTGACAATAATCCTCTCTGCCTCTGGCATTTTTGTTGTTGTTAGATATCAATGTACTTAACTCTGTGTATTTCCCACTGTGGGACTTGGAGCAACTAGCTTGTAATAACTACTTTACAATATAAGGAGAGTGAGAGTAGAAAATCAAAAGGAGGCATGTAGACAACAGAACAGGAAGGGGAATCATTGTTGCTAGATGCTTGGGATGAAAAAACAGTCAAAAATCTTGTTTAGGAAGCAGCCTGAGCGAAAATGGAACCGCGATGTCTGCCAGGGAGCCAAACGTTCTCCTGGTGGTCAGTTCCGCCTGGGTCTCACTGCGTGGCCCTGCGCTCGGAGACTCTGAGAGAGCGGCTGCCTCCCCTCCCCTGGGGCCGGCCGGGCTGTGCTGACATCTGAGGGCGCCCTGTCCGTCCGACGCTTGTGTCCCCAGGGCCTTGAGCACCAAGTGGCGCTGAGGGAGTAGGGCTTCCCCCGGGTCCTCTCCCATGGGCAACACCGGACTCCACAGGGCAGTGCCGGGGCCACAGCGAGCTCCTGGGCCTGCAGGGGTCAAAGGGGAAGATGCGAGCCCTGGCAGCAGAGTGGGAGGAGCCGTGGAAGAGGCACCGAGGTGAGACCCGGGCCGCGTGGGGGGCCCACGGGCTTCCTCCCGGTGGTCTGAGATCCGGGCTGCTCTCCGCCCCCAGAGGTGCGATTTTGTAGATTTTGTAGGTGTCGCGGTGTCTGCAACCACCTGACCTGGGTGTCGGTCACAGGATGGGTACTTCGCCCAAAACAAACACACACAGAGACACAAACAAACTGGAAACCTGACCTGGGCGAACGGCCTTGTGGGTGTGGATTCACAAAGCACATCCCACTGAGAAGAACACAAGCCCCTGGAACCCAGACGGAAGCACAGAGCTCCGCTCACCGAGTCTCGGGCCGCCGCCGTCCGCTCCTGCACGTCGCCCTGCAGACGCCCTCGTCTCAGCACCCTGGGGCGTCGGCAAGTGCGGCTGCCAGTGAGCTATCAGTTAGGGCATAAAATGAAGGACAAACAGAAAGCCAGCCTCTTCCCTGAGTTACCTGCTGCCTTGGTGTCCATTCTGTCTGGCCAAGCAGCCTGTGGGGGCCTTGAACCGACGCTCGACCCCTCATGCAAGTGCGCAGTTCCAGCCTAGAGTTACAGGCTGTGTTCCTGACGTGACCCCCCAACAGCCCTCGTGACCAGCCGTCTCCCCCAGGCTTCCCCACGGAGCTGCCGAAACCCCACCCTTTCTGGTGTGAACCCACGGACCCAGCCTTAGCCCTGGGACCAGAAGCACTCCACCCCCCGGCCCAGCATGTGCCCCCAGGCCCTCACTCGGACTTCCCAGCGTGTCCCCTCAAACCGGGCCCTGTACTTCCTCCAGGACCTGACAGTGAGGATCCTCTGTTTCAACTTCTGTTGTCGTCTTCTGTTAAATGGGGACCACTGTCCGGCGCCCCATGCTCCACTTAACAAAGTTTGAACCGCGTGGAGTTCATAGCGTGTGTGGGGAAACCATTAAATGGGTACATTAAGTTTCACGTTGCCAGACAGCTTTTAAAAGACTGTGACCCTGCTCCCCAGTTGTATCTCCTCATCCGGAAAATCTGCCATTATCTTCAACCACCAACCCGTTTCCATTTGTGGTCCTGGCTCTGAAGGGGGGGATCGGGGCTACACTGGCAGCGAGGCATTTTGTAATCAGTGAAGAGGCTACAAACACCAGAAGATGTACGACTTAACGAAGGGCTCAGTCCGAAGTGAGACACATTGATCCTGAATGACAAAGGAAATGCTATCTTTTTTAAAAAATAGTTGTTAAAGTGTTTATTTACTTTAAAGATTTTATTTATTTATTTATAGAGCGAGGGGAAAGGGGGAGAAAGGGAGAGAAACATCAATGTGTGGTTGACACTCACGCGCCCCCAACCGGGGACCCAGCCTGCAACCCACACATGTGCCCTGACTGGGAATCAAACTAGCGACCCTTTGGTTCACAGGTCGGCACTCAACCCACTGAGCCACACCAGCCAGGACGGAAATACAATCTTGTAGCTATAAATGCTGTGAATGTCCCACAAACTAGAAAAGACTAGAAAAAGGAACGTGCAAACCCTCACTGGCTGTGGTAGCAATGCGTCCTGTGTTCCGTGTTCCTGTGCAGTATCACAAAACTGAGTAAGGTGTACACAAATAAGAAAGGGTCACTGGAAATAAGGCAATTCTATTAACTTAAGCTAAGTAGTATCCAAAATGGACATATTTACTTTTTAGGTACAAACACATCACCCTTTGGCACCCAGGCAATAGTTACAGTTTCTGAAAATTAAGCCCACAGCGATGGCCGCCTCCCCGGGTCACGTGCCTCACCCCTCCGTGCGGCTGCGTCCCCGGACAGGGCTCGGGAGCGAGCAACTGCATCGATCGGCTCGGGAAAGGAGAGCTCCTTACGCTTTCTGGGTTGACTGACACAAAACGAGGCAACTTCCCTTGCTTTACATTCAACAGTAAATCTAAAGTTAGGATCCTCGCAAGCAGCAGGCTGGGTCTGACACTTCTTTCCTGTCTCCTGCTGCACGTTGCTGAGGCAAACACTGCAGCGTCCCGGTGTGTGTGCGGAGGTGCCAAACACCGCGTCTTACTATCCCAGATGAACGGCACAAACCTTAATGTTAAAGGTTCCAAGTCTTCAGTATCCAATTTTTCGAGCACAATTAGGAAAAAAAATTATCAAATACTCCGAGCATTATTTTTCATACTTCCAGTCCTATGAAGTAAGGTTTTTTATAAATAAAACATACTTCTATCAAACACATTGCTTTAGAAATCCTTAAAAAAATTAAACACTTAAACAACACAGAAGTATGCATACATTTCTGTAAGAGTAAACCATTTGCAAACAAAATAACTTATGACCTGGGACTTCCAGCCAAGATGGAGGCACAGGTAGATACACTCTGCCTCCTTGCACACAACCAAAGAAAGACAGTAACAAATCTAAAAACAAACAACAACCAGAAGTGACAGAAAATTGAGGTGCATGGATGTCTGACACCCAAGGAGTTAAAGAGGAGACATTCATCCAGACTGGTAGGAGGGGTGGAGCAGGCAGCCGGGACAGAGAGGACTCACGGCAAGGTGGTGGCTAGAGGACTGGGGCTGGCGAGGCGGCAGCTGGCGGAGCAGGCAGTCCCACACTTCCGTGCAGATAAACTGGGAGGAACAACTGGGGAGTGAGACAGACCACGTAACCCAGGCTTCCAGCGCTGGGAAATAAATCCTCAAAACCTCTAACTGAAAAAACCTGTGGGGGTTCAGGATGCACGAGAAACTCCCAGACTTACAGGAGAGTTTGCTGGAGAGACCCACAGAGTCGTAGAAGCTCACCCACACAGGAATCAGCACCAGAAGGGTCTAATTAGCTTGTGGGTAGTGGGGAAAGTAACTGAGAGTTGGCTGAGATCTGAGCAAGTGCCACTGTTCCCTCTCTTACTCCTCCCCCACATACAGCACCACAACGCAGCTACGTGGGTTGCCCCACCCTCGTGAATTCCTAAGGCCCTGCCCCTTACTAAGTAACAGGTGCAGCAAAAAAAGTATGGCCCAAATGAAAGAACAGATCGAAGCTCCAGAAAAAATACAACTAAGTGATGAAGAGAAAGCCAGCCTATCAGATGCACAGTTCAAAATACTGGTAATCAGGATGCTCACAGAAATGGTTGAGTATGGTTGCAAAACAGTGGAAAAAGTGAAGGCTGTGAAAAGTGAAATAAAGGAAAACGTACAGGGAACCAATAGTGATGGAAAAGAAACTGGGATTCAAATCAACGGTTTAGAGAAGGAAGAAATGAACATTCAACCAGAGCAGGAGGAAGAAACAGGTATTCGAAAACATAAGGAGAGGCTTAGGAACCTCTGGGACAACTCTAAACATTCCAACATTCCAACCTTAGAGGAAGGAGAAGAGGAAGAGTAAGAAATTGAAAACTTATTTGAAAACATAATGAAGGAGAACTTCCCCAGTCTGGCAAAGGAAGTAAGATTTTCAGGAAGTCCAGGAAGTCCAGGAAGCCCAGAGAGTCCCAAAGAAGTTGGACCCAAGAAAGCACATGCCAAGGCACATCATAATCATATTACCCAAGATTAAAGATAAGGAGAAAATCTTAAAAGCAGCAGAAAAGGAGACAGTTACCTATAAAGGAGTTCCCATCAGACTATCAGCTGATTTCTCCAAAGAAACCTTACAGGCAAGAAGTAATTGGAAAAAAGTATTCCAAGTCATGAAATGCAAGGACCTACAACAAAGATTACTCCAAACAGCAAAGCTTTCATTTAGAATGGAAGGGCAGATAATGTGCTTCTTAGATAAGGTCAAGTTGAAGGAGTTCATCCTCACCAAGCCCTTATTATATGAAGTGTTAAAGGGACTTATCTAAAAAAAGAAGATAAGAAATATGAACAGTAAAATGACAAGAAACTCACAATTATCAACAACTGAACTTAAAACAAAAACAAAAACAAACTAAGCAAACAACTAGAACAGGAACAGCATCACAAAAATGGAGATCACATGGAGGGTTATCGACAGGGAAGAGGAGTGGGGTGAATGGGACAACTGTAATAGAATAATCAATAAAATATATTTAAAATATAACTTACGGCCCAATCAGGTTCACTCATAGTGCACAGTTCCGGATTTACAAGAAGTTCAGTTCAAATGAGCCTCCAGGTCACTTACATAAGTAAGATGATAAACCTGAGATGACATCAGATACTTGCTCTGAGCTGTTTGGGTTGCGCTCTGTAATAAATATGTGGTAAAAGTCTGCAGTCCGCTGTGCATGGGGAGCACTCATCTTTCTCCGTTTGAAAGCCCTTCCCCAGAATCGGAGTCGCAGTGCTGCAGAGGCGTCCCGGTGGTGGGTGGGGAGGTGGGTGGGGAGCGGGGATTCTGCAGCAAGTCCACCAGCGAAGCGATCTTCTCATCCACGTGCTCCTGGAGGGCACGGATCCGCTGGTCAATGTGGTCCATGAGTTTCTTTTCCATCAGGTCCACATTTTTAGAAAGAATCTTTTCCAAGTAGGCGCAAACAGGCTGCTCGCCCATTCTAAAAATAAAATAAAAAACAATATAAGAACTATCTCTAATACTGTAACAAAAACAACCAAAATGTACAACAAGCAGCCAATATACAAATGCTGAAATTTGTTGTCACAACTGTGCTCTGTCTCCTTATGACATTTCTAGAATCTAAAACAGACACAATAGGCAACCACGAGCCGGAATGACCAAAGCGTTGTTTCTTTAACTTGGTAAACATTTAAGCAAACCATTAAAATGAGAATATGAAATGAGGACAGAATTTCTACCCTCAAAGAACAAGTCTTTGGAAATAGTCTTTTTGATTTTGAACTCCAGATCAAAACTGGTCTTGCTAAATTATTTTTTAAGGTCTCCACGTATGCAGTGCTTTCTCAAGCAATTTCAAGTTGTGTCTTTTTTCATCCCCACAACCTTACTGAACTACTGGAAGGCTCTGCTCTAATTTGAAAACATTTAAAAATAAATGTAACTGGACTGGGCCAATAAAACATAATAAAAAACACGCCGGTTTCTAAAGTTCACAACGGATGAGCTTTAGAAGCTGGCATCAGATTACTACGCCAGAAAATGCTGGCATCTCCACGGGCTTTTCAGGGGTCCCATGATCAAGTTACTTTGATAACAACCTTAATTTATCATTTGAACGTATCCTCCTTATATTCTCCCAAAGGTACAGGACATTTTCCAGAGTCTACACCACATAAAATGTCACTGCTTGGCTGACTGACGTGGGATGTGTGGTTGCCTAGTCTTTGGTTTCCTAGAGTCTGCTAAGGTAGTAGGTTTGGGTATCAATATTTTTTCAGAGATTAACTCTTTTCTTCTGACTACTTCTACTGTGGTCATACTAGACACTGATTATACACGCTACAATGCAACGTATTTGAGAATGCAAACAAAAGCTAATATAGATTTGCATAAATTTATATAAATTCTCACTGAACTTCTTAAAACATTGTTTCATAAAAGTTATGTTACTATCTAATGATTTATTGTTATTTTTAAACAAATAAATATTTTATATAATCGACATAAATAAGGTTTCTTTAGAATCCTCAATTATTTTTAAGAGTGTGAAGATCATAACATATGAGAACACCTACTCTAGAATGTATGAAGGTTTTCTACTTTATTTTCAAATAAGTACAGATCCACGGGAAACTGTGAAGGTACCAGAGTCCCCACCACCCCTCTCGCCCAGTGGCCCCCATGGCCCTGCCTCACCCCTCTACTCACCTTTCCTATCAAATCCAGGAGACTGACGTGAGGACAGTGTGTATGCGCCATCTTCTCACACGTGCACACACGCGTGTGGACATCACAGTGAAGATGCAACACTATTCCTTAACGGCAAAGACCCTCCCCCTGCCACCCCCTTAGTGTCCCATCCACTCCTGAGTCCCTTCCGTCTGTAATACCTGGTGACCTCAACCCCGTTCTTCGTCCCCATCATTTTATACAGGCAGACCTCATTTCATGGTGCTTTGCTTTCCTGTGCCTCACACATGTTGTATCTTTTACAAATCAACGGCAGAGCCACCACCAGCAAAGATTACGACTCGCTGTGTTACCACACTCTCTACTGCGACACCTCCGAGGCACGCCTGCACAGATGGAATCATGCAGCGTGTGGCCTCTTGTCACTCGGCACAATGCCCTTGAGAACCATCCTGACTTTCGTGGGTATCAACAGTTCATTCCTTTTAATTGCTGATTAGTGTCCGTGATTTGGATACAACACTGTTTGTTGAACCACTCAAGCGTTTTAAGACATTTTGAGTGTTTCCAGTTTGGGGCTATTACATACAAATAAAGCTTCTATGAATAACCATGCACAGGTTTTTGTTGTGTGATCATGAGCTTTTCATTTCTCTGAGATAAATGCCCAGGAGTACAAGGTCTGTCCAGAGAAAGTACAGCCACTGTTAATATACTGAGAACGGTTTGCATGACATAGATGTAACCTGGCAGCCAAGGAGAGTGGACCGAATGGCACATCTGTGAGCAATGACGACTCTACCACAGTAGTCAGTGGGGGAGGTAGATGCCATTGAGCGAGCATGCGTACTGTGTGGCCATCGCATTCAAAATGACTGAGTGAGTAGAGCAAAGAATCTACATTAGATTTTGTGGTAAGCTTGAACATTCCTCCACAGAAACTATTCAGATGATGAGGAAGGCTGCAGTTATGGGCAACTGGTGATTGGCAGCTTCATCATGACAATGTGTCTGCTCACACATCACATCTTGTGCAGTTTTTTTGTGAAACATCAAATCGTCCAAGTGACTCAACCCCCCTACGGCCCAGATGTGGTGCCCTGCAACTTCCGGCTTTTCCTAAAACTAGAATTAATTTTGAAAGGGAAGTGATTTCTGACTGCTGATGAGATTCAGAAAAGTGCGAAGGGGCAGCTGATGGTGACTGGGAGAACCGTGTGGTCTCAAAGTGCCTACTTCGAAGGGGACTGAGGTGTCATTATCCTTGGTACAATGACTCTTGTATCTTCTTCAACAGATGTCTCTATTTTTCATAGTCCATGGCTGGATACTTTCCAGACATACCTCATATGACTGTTGGGTCTCATGGTAACTGTGTTTCACTTTCAAGACACTGCCAAAATATTTTTTAGACTGGCTGTGCCATTTACATCCCCACCAGCAACATATGAGAGGTCGGATTCTCCACGTCCCCATCAGCGTTTGGTACTGTTACCATTTTTAAGCTTTCTCTTTTAGTCATTTGAGTAACTTTGTAGTGTTACCTTGCTGTGGTTTTTATCTGCATTTCCCTAATAGCCAGGGGGTCAGCCTCAACCATCTGTTCATGTGCTTATTTGCTATCTGTACGTCCTCTCTGGTGAATGTCTCCTTATGTCTTTTGCCCATGTTCCAACTGGATTTTTTTTTAAATTTTAAGTTTTGAGAATTCTTTACATACAGGGTGGGGGGAAAAGGCTTACAGTTATAAGCACATGAAACAGTTTATTCTTGTTTTAACCCTCAGCTGAGGATAGAGTTTTTATTGATTTTATAGAGGGAGGGAGGGAAACACTGATGTGAGGGAGAAACATCAATGGGTGGCCTCCCCTAGGTGCCTCGACTGGGGGCTGCACCCACAGTTTTGCTGCACAGGATGATGGTCCGAATGAGCCACCCGCCCAGGGCCGCGGGTGATTCTTGTAGTATTATTTATTAATTATTGCTCTGCTTTCCAACTGTAAGCTTACTTTTGCCCCCTCATATTTTAAATATTTTATTTGTTGGACTTGTTATTTGCAAATATCCCCCCCCCCCCCAGTTTTTAGTTTAGATTTTAGTTCACTGGGCTAAAGTTTTGCATTTTGATGGGTCCACTGCAGCAATTTTCAGTTACCCTGCTTTTGGTGTCATTTCTAAGGAGGCGTTTCCAAGTCTTAGGTTCCCATGATTTTCTCCCAAGTACCACTAGAAAAGTTTTATAGCTTTGTGCTTTACACTGAAGTCCATGATCCACTGCGATGTAGTTTTTGCACAAGGTATGAGGCTGAGGTCGTGGTCCACATTTGGCCCACAAGAAACCCAGCGGCCCCTGCACCGTGGGTCACAGAGACTGTCCCTGTCCCGTGGCACTGCTGTTGTGCCTTCATCACAAATCGGCCGCACTTGTGTGAGGCCATTCCTGTGTCTTCTGTTGCACTGATCTGTACGTCTGTCCCTCGGCCAGTACAGTCTGAGTACTGCGGCTCTGTCTGGAGATCAAATGATCTCTCTCACTTTATTTTTTCAAAATTATTCCAGCCATTCTAGTTCCTTTATCTTTCCATTTCCAAATCTTAGAATAATCTTACCTATGTTTACAAAACCCTCCTCAGCTTTTTATAGAAATACATCAGTTTGGGGAACACTGATGTTTTTACTATGTTGAGTCTTTAAATCCATGAATATGGTACATCTCTCCACTTATTTAGGTCTTCTCTGATTCATTTCATTAGCATCTTATAATGTACAATTTATAGATCCTGCATATATTCTGTTTTCATATATATATATATATATATATATATATACACATATATACATACATATATTTTTTAAGATTTTATTTATTTATTTTTAGAGGGGAAAGGAAGGAGAAAGGGAGAGAAACATAAATGTATGGTTGCCTCTCATGTGTCCCTTGCTGGGAACTGGCCTGCAACCCAGACATGTGCCCTGACTGGGAATCGAACCTCGATTGTCTGGTTCGCAGGCCCGTGCTCAATCCACTGAGCTACACCAGCCAGGAGTTTTCATATATTTTTAATGACTTCTATAGTTAATATTTTCTATGGATTTATATGTATTGTCATGAATCTCATTGTCTTTAGAACAATGAGATTTTGGTATCAGGATGTACTGGCCTTGTGAAATGCATTGAGAAGTCTCCCCTCCTCTTCTATTCTTTGGAAGTGTATACATTTGGTGTTCTTTAAATGTTTGGTGGAATTCTGCACTGAAACCAGCTGGACCTGGAGGTTTCTCTCCATGCGCTTTCAAACTGTGAATCTAGCACTTCCGGTGGTTGTAGGGCGGCCTCATGTTGTTTGTATGTTTCGTCTTGGTTGAGTCTGGGAGTTTGTGGTGTTTGAGGGCTTCATCCATTTCTTCTAAATTGTCATGTATGAGCACAAAGTAATTGGCAATATTCCCTCACCATTTTAATGGCCCGAGAACTTGTAGTGATATCTCCTGTTACATTTGTGATACTGGTGATTTCTGTCCTCTTGGCCAGACTTGGTAGCCCGCCCTACTAGAAGTGTATCAATGTCACTGAAATTTTTAAAGAACCAGCATTTTGCTTGATTTTCTTTGTAGTTTCCACTTCATATCTTGTTGACCTCCACTTTGTCATTTCTGTATAAACAAACTTTGGGTTTATGTTGCTGGGCTTTTATATGAAAAATTCAGTTTGATGGATGGTTGTAGGGTCATTCTGACTGTGACTTCATCGTGGCTGAGTGTTCCGGTTTTGTGTTACTGAGACCTCTCCCAGTTCATAACACAGGCACCCAGCGCTGTGAATTCGGCCTCAGCACTTTCAGCTGCACCCCCAGAAGTCTGGTCTGTTGTGTGTTCATCATTCCCATGCAGTTTTTAAAGTGTCCGTTGAAATTTCCTTCTTGAACCATACATTATTTAGAATATATTGAGATTTCCTTCTTGAACCATAGATTATTTAATCCCCAAATGTTTGATAATTTTCTTGCCTTTTCATCAATCTCTAGTTGGACAGGATTAATTTATGGTCAGAAACCATACTTTGTAGGATTTCAATCCTTTTAATTTTGGTTTACTTTGTAAGATATAATCTATCTTTGTAAATCTTCCATGGACACTTGGAAAAAATGCATTTTCTGCTACTGTTGGTGGGGTTTTCTCCAAATGTCAGTTAGATCCCGCTGACAGGTGGTGCTGTTTAGTTCCCAACTAATGCTGCTACCTCATTTTCAGATGAAAACTCTAAAATAAGGGAGACTAAAGACTGTGGCAAAGTGGTTAAGCCAAAACTATGGCCAGAGTCCTAATTCCAGTCTAGAACACTATTTTGATAAGCTATGTTTATGTAAAGGATAGGAATATACTAAATACTTACCTATCTCTTAGATGTATGCTGCTAAAACATGGGATTATAAAACCCGGGGATAAGAGACTGTTTACTATAAATAAAGGTCATCCTAATATAGTTGTGATTATTCCAAAATTAGCCTAGGTCAAAGACGATCTAAATAGAAAACTCTGCTACGATGGCATGGCTCACACACCCAGCCAAACGATCCAAATAAAGACCAGGTACAGATCATGACTCCACAGCTATTCTCTCTTGATGCAAATAACTCTCCCCTGCAACCGCCACTGGGCGGTTGTAACCCTTTCACAAAAATCCCCGAGAAGTCCGCAACACCTCTACTTTTGCACACCTCTTTCCACTGTGTGTAATGGTGATTCCTTGTAAGTCTGTTAACAGTAAAATGTAAAAGCTCCTGAATTTATGTTTGGAAACTCATCCAGTACTCAGGCAGCACTCCCTGAGACGGATCTTTTCCCTTCCGTTCATTCCCCCATCTACCGAACCCAGACGATGTTTGTCTTAAAATAGATACTCACCCCACACCAGTGATGCCGTCACTGGGCTTGGCGATGGTGCCCGGCCGCCCTGCCTTATGGCCCACACGGAGCCCATTAACTTGACCGCACAGATTCTGCAGAAGAGGCAGCAGCTCAGAGTCCGGTGTACCTGAGTGGTCACTTGCTTTCTTCGGTAGGAAAGAAGACACCGCGTTTGTAAGGTCACCGCCAGGAAGAGAACAGTTTGCTGGCATGACTGGACACTCTCCGAGGTTTGTCCTGTTCCCTCCAGCGGGTGCCCGGGTCCTTCTGTCAGTGTGAGCTTCTGAGTCGCCAGTCACGTGGCCAGGACTCAGCCCAGCTCTGAAAGGACAAGGTGTGGAGGGTGACCTGTCCCAGACTGCCGACGGGGACGACGCCTGCAGGCCCATCACTCGAGTGAGCACAGTCTTTCCCAAAACCGACTGGAGCTGCTCTCCGATGGAAACGCAATTCTAAGCCAAGGAAATAAGTAAATGTCACTGTTAATAACGATGACAGCCACCTTTGGGAGTAATTTAGAATCAGGCAATGCGCATTCTTTCATTGGACCCTCAACACAACCACAGGAGGTACGCTATCATTACTCTGCAACATTAGGTGTCCCTGTCCTCTGCTAGGGGACACCTCCCAAACCCTCCCTTCCACTCCGCCACCCCCAACCTGTGTTCCTGATGCTCACAACATCCCCCACCCATGTTTTATTCACTCTAATGTTCAGAATTCCAACATTCAAAGCCTTCTTTCCCAGGCAGTCTCCTCTCGTGGGCTCCATGTGTCTTATTGGTGTCATCCTCTAACAACATCAATTTCACGGCTCCCTCTCCTTCTCACCCACAATCCCAACACCCAGTTAGTTAGCTGTCAAGCCCTCCCAGTGCCATCATGCTGGCAGCTCACAGCCCGGCACCAGGCTGCTGTGTCCGTCATCTGACCCTCACGAACCCTCGTGGGGACGAGGGAGTAATGGGCAGCTGCCCTCCTTCTTGTCGTCTCACCCTGGACAGCATCACCTTTCCTCTGGTTCACCCTGCACACAGCGTGGAGTAGCACGTCTTTGAAATGCAGGGCGAAAACCCCTCCAGACTTAAAAATCAACGCCCAAAGCCCTCTATGACTGAGCTCTGATCTACTGCAAACTTCCTGTCACTTCTTGGCCCCACACACACGAACGTATAACCACTTCCCAGCTATGTCCTGTTCCCTTTAATATTGAAGATTTAACGCATACCATTCTCTGTCTGTGAAACTGTATCCCTCCAAGTTTACTTGCCTGATCCAAGCCTTCTCCTTTAAAGGCCTACAAAAATAAAACTATAAAGACCCTTAAAGACACGATATAGAAAACTGATCTTTAAACCTTGTCAAGTGCTCAGAACGTGCCTCAGTCACTGAGAAGGGGGGTAGCAGATACTGGCTGAAAGGGCGAGTGACTAAATTTATGAAAAATTGTGAAGATCTGTAACAAAAACATTTTGTGAGACAGGTCTACAAAATGCGATTTTTACTAAAGTAAACAGATAATAGGCAAATCAACAATAAAAGCTCAAAGAAAAATTTAAGTCTGTACATATTATAAAAAGCTATTAATTTTGAAAAGTTTTGGTGTCCAGAAGAAAACTCCCCTCCCGCTCACCTGCTGCTGGAAGCTGACCATGCTCATCAGCTGCTGAGCCCCAGGCGACAGCGTGGACCCCATGGAGCGCACGATGGTCTGGACCCGCTGCAGGTCCACCCCTGCGGCCACCACGGGAGAGCGTGCGGAAGGACGTGCTGAGGCCGGTCTCACGTGCACTACGACTTTGCTGATGAACACACGCTGCTTTTCACCAAAGGAGAGCAACTATCGTAAAACAAAAAGGTTCCAGGGAAAATAATATTAAGTAATAATCACTATTTAAGGTTAATTTATTTTTTTTGTCCAAACTAGCAGTAGTGAAGTATTTTGGAAAGCAAATACATTTTCATGTTAAAGTGTTCCCTAAAATTGTAAAAGTCAGCACTTCCAATTTATTATGAGGCTAGAAGAACTATTTATGTAAAAGAATGTTATTTTCAAACTGAAAAAATATATATTATACAAAAAGGGTAAATAAAGTTTCCTTTTCTTAATTAAAAAAATAAAAATAAACTATTTAAAAAAGATAACACACCACAGCTAGCTATAATTTAACACAAAATAAGGATATTCAGAAGATCTTGCAACCTATGTCTTGAAATCCTAAACAAAAGCCAGTGTTTGACGATTTAGAATTTTAAGCAAAAGTCAAGATGGTCTAACATTACCTGCTGGCTCGTGCACAGAAAAGATGAGGTTAAGGGTGATTTTCTAGTTTGTCGCAGGGCTAACCAATCAGCATAAGTTAAGCCAGGACTCAGCTCTTCTGGCTTCTATAGCATTGTTCAGAAATGTGCCTCAGAAACTATTATTTGTAACTTTCACCTACTATTGCCCCCGAACAAGCTTTAGTAGATTTAGAATTTCTTAAATGAAACGACCCTTTGCTCTGCCAGTTACTTTCATAGAACAGTTACAAAAACACTTACCTTCAGAGACACATGGAACCACCCATATGTAATCTGAAGGTACAGGTCAAACCATATCCACGATGCAAACACTCTGAATGTGGGGTACCAAAGAGGTGACTGTCCGCAGTAACTAAGGAACCTCCCCATTAAATTTATATTCCTACCTCCCAATCTCCCTGCGACCCCCTTTCTGCTTTTTAATCCCCGTATCTTTCCTTACCACTAAATATTGCAGATTTTCCTCTCTGAGTTGGCCTACTGTCTGTCTCACCCACTCAGCAACGTGAGGGCAGTCACTCCAGTTTATTATATTACTGCTAACGACTATATGCTTACTATCATACCTGCCATCCGTAGGCACTCAAATATTTGTTGAATATTTCATATTGAATGAATCACTTTATTTAAATAAATCTGGGAGCTATTCCTATATACTATCTAAAACAGCATCTTGGAATAATCACTTCTGTAGATATACTACCTGCCTGCTTTTACTGAGATATACTATAGTTCATCAACCATTTAAAGGTTGATATACTATACATGCCATCAACCATTTAAAGTGTACAATCTGGTACACTTTAGTATACACTTTAGCACACGAGGATATGCAGAGTTGTGTAACCGTGACACGATTTTGGAGCATCGCCCCAAAGGCAACCCTACGTCATGGGCTTTCCCTCCCCATTCCCCGGCGGCCCAACTCCTACCCTCGAGCCCTTGACAACAACTAATTGAGTTTCAGTCTCTATGGATTTGCCTATTCTGGTGTTTCATACATCTATGGAATCATACAACATGTCATCCTTTGTGACTGACTTCTTTTATTTTCAAGGTTCATCCATGCTTGTAGTATGAAGCAGCAATTCATTGGTTTTCATTACTGAGTACTTTTCCATTTCATGGGTGTACCATATTTTGTTTACCCATTCATTAGGTGATGAATATTTGGGCTGTTCCTACCTTGTGGCTATCAGAAATGATGATGCTATGAACATTCGCGTACACAGGAAGGATTAATTTTTTAGCGCTCTAATTTATCCATGAATTGGTCCCAAAGAGATAATGAGATCTGCCCAGTGTTACTCAGCTAGTATGTAACAAAGCAGAATTAATATTCTGGGTTTATGATGTCCAGCTCAGAACCCTTCCTCCACATTTCACACATCACAAAAGCTCACTTCGACCTATTTTTTATACTCAAGACAGCAGTCCAAATTCCTTTAACTTCTAGATGCTATTCTCTATAACTTCTCTAATTCCTTTTTTAATATACACATATAATGGAGCCAAAACTGCCTGTGGTTGTCTCAACAGTATAGTTTTACATAAAGATAATCTACAACAAAGTTGGATTAACTGTATTACCAAACCAACAGAAATTAAGTACAAATTATACAAAAGCATTTGCAGTTATCAAATTAGTTAAAATTTAGTGATGACTTACCTTGATTTTACAAGCAAGACTGGGAGACTCCAATTTTAAGTACTTTTTATAGAAAATAATTTCAGGTTCACTAAAAATAAAATAGGATTTAAATTTATTTTTACTTGTATTACCATTTTTAATAGTTATACTTAAAAACAAACAGTTTCTCGGCCCTTACTTAAACCCCGAGATTCAATTTGTCTGACAAGGGACAAAGAGTTGGGGCTCCCTATGTGAGCGACTTGGTAATAAGTACTATGCCTCCTCTTTCTACCTTAGTAAGAGAATTAAATGAGATGATGTATATAAAACCATGTAGCACAGAGCATAGAGTAAAGCTCAATAAATGTACCTTTTAGTTTCCATATGCACAATATATAAAATAGTCCATATTTTGAGTTATATTAAGAAGAGATTAGGGTAGAATCTTTGTGTAAGAGCCTAAAGAAAAAATATCAAATTATAACAGGATGGATTATGGATTAAATTGGCCGAAGTGGCACAGCCTCGGGCCTGGGTGACACATGCAATGTCTTCCTCTCAAAAGAAAAACAAAACTGTTCAGAGTCCCAGACTGCCTGCCAAGGTAACTTCCAGAAAACAGACCACTGTGAGTTCAAGTTGAAGGCCAAACCAGAGCCACATTCTAGGCAGCCTATATAGTGTGACTGACTAGTACAGCCCTCTAGTCACTGCCCCTCTCTTAGCTCTAAATTTCCCTAATTATGAAAATAAGAAAGCTGATCTAGACCGTCTTAAGATACCTTAAAAGTCTAACGTTCTATTCCTGCTGGTGTGTTCTATCTTCTTCCCCTTAACCCCTGGCACCAATGTCAGAGAATCAACGCATCCTGCAAAGTGGAGGAAAAGAAGCACACTACTTCAGAAGAACACACACACACGCAGAAGCCACAAACCTCTTCTCCAGAACATCACGAACAGTCTTGCCCCGACTGGTTCCACTGTACTCCTCTCCTACATACACCTCCATATTTCTCGCCGAACTTAAAATGCCAACAGAAACCATTTCTTCACCTCCCTCAGGGTCACAGCCCAGGTATAGGAAGCAGGGAGTTTCCTCTGGGCTGTTCCGGCTCCTTTCCAAAATCACCGGATCCTGGCTGAAAAGAACATAAGAACATTATACAGTATAGTTCTCCGAACACGGTTACTAACCCACTTACTAAGCCGTATTTCTTGTATTCACTGACATTTGCCTTTGGGATTCATGCACCGTCCCAAGCCCCCAACAAATGCTCAGTACAAATTCATCAAGAAATGGATACTTCAGACATCAGGGCTTTCTCCTACGTTTTCCCTTGATCACCAACATCGTACTCAATCTCCCGTTATTGCTTCTCATTTAATTTAAAGCTCACCAGACAGTTCTGTGCAGAACAGTGGGAAGCACAATACGATAAAAGACAGAGTGTATCTGTTGCAAAAATTAAGAGAATAGAGATTCTCAACTGCTGACACTTTTTAACGTCTCTTTTGGTTGCCAGGAGGTGGACAGGAGCTTTCTGTTTATTTGGGGAATAGAGGATGATTCCAGTTGTGACAAGTGCACTCAAGGGCTGACCTGACGGATTTACCCGCGTTTGTGTGAAATGCCTTTTGCAAGTGACCCTCCCAGAAGCCCCTGCGCCCAACACTCACGCCCTGCAGTGGCCCAGCCACCCAGGCCCTGTCCGTCACCCACGCCGGCCCTGGCTCCCTGCACTGACCCTTCACCACATCCGCTCCGGATCCCGGGCCCAGACCCTCTCCCCTCACGCGCCCCCCTCCCCTCCTCCTCCCCTCACCACGCCCCCAGGAGCGTGGCTGTTCACTAGGCAGCCAGCCCGTCCCCGCAGGCCAGGCGCACCCTGGGGCAGGCGGCGCCAGCAGCTCATCCCACTCCAATTCCTGCGCTCCGACACCAGCTCCGGTGACAAGGAGGCTCTGGTCCAGGCCCCCGCCTGTGGCATCCCAGGAAGAGGCCAGCGAGGGGCGGCGGATCCACAGCCCATCCTCAGCCTCGGTCTCCATTGGGCCACCTGCAGGCCAGGACAGCCCCGGAACCTTTGTCCCGGAGCTTGAGCTTCTGCCTGGGCGGAGGGGAACTGATAAAGCCGAGCAACTTCCGGCTCGTGAAGCCTCTTGCTCCTGCTGGGAGAGAACCCAGTGCGGTATAAACGCATGCGCGAGGCGGTCCCGTTGAGAAACTGGATTCAAAACTTGCCGGGAGACCCCCGTGAGGGGAGCATGCGCACTAACAGCACCTTCTCTCACCGGGGGAGCTGTGCTCAGACACAGAGTGGTGGGCGCGCGACCATGTCGTTCTTTCTACGTTGCCCCGGGGAAAAAGGCAGTGGAAGGACCACGGTTGCTGGCCGGCCCCGGAGGGCTGATCTAGTGAGGAGTCGTGGTGTCGTCGCTCCACGCCACCAGAAGGACTGTTTGCAGACACCCCCGGAGTGGGCGTCAGGCATCCCAGCTGCAGTGGAGCGCTCGGCGGCGCGAGGCTCGGGCGTGGAGCTGGCGTTTCCTTTTTACTCTTCCTTCTCTGACCACACACGCTGTCCCCCTAGACGGTGGTCAGGTGGACGCTGGCGGTGCGGCGTTAGCAGGCGGAGGCTTGGCCGGGAGTCCCGGGGCGGCGCTGTCACAGGCAGCTTTGGGGCGCGCCGGGCCTGGGTACATCCGCACTGTGGCTGTGGACCCGCAGCAGTGGCGCCTGGGGCGTGGAGACCCCAGCGCTCAGGCTGCAGGAAGCGGAGGCCCGGAGCCCAAGTGGGGACCGCACCGGATGATCTGCAGCCCTGGCCTGGGCTGAGCGAGCAGAACCGGGGCGGGGGGCTGGGGTCTCTGGTGGAGGAGAATCCCAGCTGGGGCCGGAAGGGTCTGGAAAAGCTGGAGGAGATGCGACTTTCTGGATGCCCCGCGGGATAGGGAGGTAAATGATGATGCCTCTTTGCATCTAACACCCTCAATCTGGACCGCCCCTCCGCCCGGTCCCTGCATCTGATGGCTGATGGCCGCTGACACTCCGCCTGTTCACAGACACCCACGCAGCTCTTGATCTGCCCCCGCTGCAACCGGCCTCACTACCTTCTCTGTCCTCCATTCTGTGGATGGGTTTTATGAGGGCCATCAGCCCAAACTGGGGAAAATGTCTCCGTCTTTATTTCTGCTCACCTTGCACTGAAATTTTACACTTCAGTGATTGGGATAAAACAGCAAACCCCAGCAGGGTCACCAGCACCTGGGAACTTGTCGCTCAAATTAATCCTTGCCATTTTCACATCGCATTAGTGTGCTTACCGCTATCGTAAAACTGGATCAGAACTTCAAAATTGTAGCCATTAGACTCCCTCCACGACTTTTATGAGACAGTTTTCTTAAGGTGTAATTAACATACAGTAAGAGTCACAAGTTTTAGGAAAGAATCCCCTGCCCTTTGACAAATGCACGTAGTTACACAGTGAACCCCGATGTGGACAGGCTGTGATTTGTGTGTGGAAGCCTGAGTCCTGCCGGTGTCCCAGACACCATGTCTGTTTGTAAAGAAGCATGGATACCACTATATTATACGTTTGGTTTTGAAAATATGTTGTGATTCGAAAATATGTTCGATTTCCTTTGTAATCCTGTATATTTTATGTTGCATACTCCAATGTGTTACTTGGAAAAGGGTGCATAGGCTTCATCAGACTGTGTCTTGTCCATGACACAAAAGAACATTATTGGCTTCAGTCACTGCCCATTTTCCCACTGGTAGGACATCACACAGGCACCTTTTGGCCTGCAGGGACAGGCTGGCTAGTCAGTGACAGGTCCGAAAGCGGCGGAATGGTGCCAAGTTTGCAGTTTGTTCTCCTTGATTTATTTTAGTCTCATTGCCTATTTATGAAACAATTGGGAGAGGAAGGGATTGGATAGGAATTGGGCTTCAACACACACATTTGTGGGGGTGGGGGGCAATACACCATTCAGCTCATAACAAACCTTCTTATTGGCAATTGACCTCCTTTGTCATTTGGAATACAAAGTAGTCGTCAGGTAAAGTAACTCTTCTTCCATGTCTCCCCTGAGACTCTTACTATTCCCTTGCCCAGGTATTGGTCTCGGAAGGTAAGTAATTTAAATGGACCATTTGCATCCAACTGTAGGTGATGGAAACTTGAGCATCTCCGCAGATCCTCCTTCCTTTCCCGCGTTGCCACTTCCACATTGTTAAATTAGCACTGTGCTCTGAATTGGACATGGCAGCCCAGAATTTGGGTTTTCTGCTCATTTTGACAAGACCACTCTGGATGCTTTCAGAGGAGACATTTCCAAAGTTGTGTAGAGGAAAAAAACCACAAGGGCTGACCAACCTAAATGCTTAATCTACCTGTCACTTACACCTGTTCTACAACTGTGCCTCCAGGGAAACATCAATGCCAGCCATTCATAGATTTCTGTGAGAATATAGCAGCTGTATGACCTCATTAGCAATTTCAAAAGATGAAGTGTTCCCTTTACCTCTTTCGCAGATGGTTTATAGGCAGTCCCATAACTAAAAGTCTTCGCTGGTGATCTGAACACCTAGGACGTGGTAGGCACAAGTGGAATCAAATTGGCATTCTTGCTTTCTCTACTGTTGGTTAAGATTACGTATTGGCATCATTGAACTTTTTAAATTTAGTCCTCACCCAAGGACATTTTTTTCACTGCTTTTTAGAGAGAAAGGAAGAAAGACAAAAATCCAGGTGAGAGAGAAGCATCAATTGGTTGCTTCCCATAACACCTACTCTGGGATCTTATGTGTTGGGACTGGGGATAGAACCTGCAATCTAAGTATGTGCCCTGACCAGGAATCAGACCTTCAACCTTTTGGTTATGGGACGATGCTCCAACCAACTGAGCCACACCAGTCAGGGCATCGTCGAGTCTCTAAATCTGCTCTTCCCCAAGAATGCCAAACCTTAAAAGACTGGCCTGGATGAAGGTGGATAGTGGGATGCTGTCAAGAACACGTAAGACAAGGTGAAATCTGACTAATTTTGCTGGTAAAAATACCAACAATCTACTTCTAGATTCAAACAGTTTATTACATATACAGTGAAAGGAAATTAGGCAAAAACTGGTTCCACACCCTAAATTGGATGATACCAAAACTAAAGGGGCTGGATGACCTCAGTGCAAGTTGGGTATTTTGATGCTGATAAGCATCACCAGACTGTAAAGAGGGGTCCCAGGGTTGTGTCAGAACAGGCTGAACAGAGAACCGAGACTTATATCTGGGCTGTAACAGCCCTGCCCCTACACTGTGGTGTCAGTGGAGACCTTGGGGAGTGTGGGCTTCCATGCTGACCTGGTGGCAGCGAGGCACTGTCCCACCTAACTTGGTGGTCTCAGGGGAGGCCTAATTGAGATTTGGGACTGCCACCATTACCCAGGGGTAACAAGGATGTTTCCACTGTGGTCAGTGGAGAACACAGCATGAATGAGAGATTTTTTTTTTCCCTGCAGTCTCAACCGTAAGGACCCAGCTGAGCTCCTAGAAGTAAAACTCATGAAAGTTTGCCCTCTGTGCCAAAAAAAAAAAAAAAAAAAAAACCCCAAAAACAAAACCCTGCATCACCAGAAATTTAAAAAAACTCTCAGGCTAGTTCTCCTTGAACTTTTGGCAATGCAGGAATCATCATTTAAGGGTTGCTACTAGTCGCTGCTCTGGCAGTGGCTTCTGTTTCTGGTTGGCCGATTTCTCTGCATTTATTCATCTCACTGGTGTGGCTGTTTGCCCTGTGACTTCAGTTCTTTGGTTGGCCTAAGGAGTCTGATTGACTTGCAGTTTTTTCAGGTTTCTTCTTGTTTTGAGAATGACAATTAATAAGCTCTTTACATGTTGGAGTGGAAATTGGAAGTTCTGTTATTTCTGCTCCCAGAATAGACAATCTCAACTGACCTATATTCAGGCTCACTGATTCTTTCTTCTGCCTATTAAAGTTTGATGTTAAGCCCTTCTGGTGATTTTTTCCCCCAGTTAATTTTCATGTGGTTCTTTGTTTTCCCTACTACTTGCTATCTCTTTGTTGCTATTTTCTATTGGAGACATCATTCTCATATTTTACTCTTTTAGAGATGGTTTCCTTTAGACATATTTAAAATAACTGATTTAAAGTCTTTGTCTAGTAGGGCCAATGTCTGGGGTTCTTTGGGGAAAGTTTTTACTGTTTCCCTTTCTCTATTTTGATGGGCCATACAGTCTTGGTTTTTTGCAAGTTCTATAGTCTGTTGTTGAAAATTGGACATTTAAAATATATAATGTGGCAACACTGGAAATCATTTTACCCACTCTCCAAGATTTGTTGTTGCTGCTTTTTATAGTTGTTATTGTTTTTTTAATGACTTTTCTCAATTCTGTAAAGTCTGTATTCTTTGTTGTATGTGGACACTGAAGTGTCTGTTGATTAGCTTAGTGGTTGGATACAAATTATTTTAAGTGCCTGGAACCAGTAATTCTCCCAGTCTTTCATGAGGGGCTGTGTGTGCATGTTGGGTTATATGTTCAGCAGTCAACCAAGAGGTCGAAAACTGTGCCTTTGCCTGTACTTCCTGCTTGGGCATAGCCTTGGGGTCAGCCAGAGGTGAACGCTCGAGACCATCTCATGGCTTTCTTGAGCACACTCACAGCCCTGGGCATGCACCTAGCCCTGCACATGCGATGGCCTTCTGGCCTTCCAGGCAGACATCCGGGCTTTTCAAAATCTCCATGGACAGCTAACTTACCCACTTCTCCTTTAAGATTTCGGCTAGCCTAGCATTTGCCTCAAATGTTATCCACTCTTCCAAGCAGCCTCGAAGTTGAAGCAATAGCCTATAATTGTTTTTGTCAAAGTCCCCTGAGGAGAAGGCTTTTTTTACTGGGTAGACTTTAAACGAGGTTAAATACAGATAGCTTTGCAAGTGAGGTCTCCCAGGTAACCAGCAGACAGGTCGAGTAATGAAAATTCTTCAGAAATGAGGCTTTGAAAGAGCTCTACCTTTACTCTCTCCCTCTTGTGGCTGTATTAGAATCTGGGCTGGTATTTTCAAGCCTGCCAGGGAGCTGGAGAGTGAATGATGGAACAGAGTCACAAAACACGCTGTTTATAATGAGATTCAGTTCTTTTTAAATTCATATTTCCTGAGGTGCTATGAGCTTTGAGTTAATTTCCAGAGTCTAAAAAAAAAAAAAAAGTGATTCTGACAATTTTGCCAAGTTTTTTTTATTGCTCTTACAGAGGAGAGAATTTTCAGAGTTCTTATGCCACTATTTTTATT